CTTTCTGAGGGACGATTATCTCAGACATTGAGCAGAATTCCTAATAAACAAACATGCATATCAATCTTCAACCAATAAATATACACTGATTTCGATTCAGTTCAAGTATAGATCAGTCAATAGGTAGAGCAAGAGAATGGAATAGTCAACAGAAACTTAATAACAAATCAAGATAAAGTAGACTGTGTCAAATTATTAATCATTCAAATATAAGAAGTTCATCAGAACAAAACTAATCTGCAATTTTTGAATAATTAACAAAGATTCTTTTCTATCTGAAGTATGCTTTGATTATGCTACCCAATGAGACATTAAAAGTTTGAACAGTTAGAACACCCAGTTCAGAAAAAAATTACCATTGCCAGAATACGCAAGCTTATATATATAGAAATATTAGGGTGAATGGCTACAGTTGTGAGAAAGTGAGAAATTTAATTGAAACAACATGAACTAACAATAATAAACAAAAACCATGATAATTATATACCTGTTGCTTAGCAAAAAGATTATTAAAATTTCTAATCATTTGGGAAATGAATTAAAGAAATTGTAAATATTGGTTAATTTATTTTTTTTTTGTGTTCTACAAATTCGTCCAAAGATGCAAACACACACTTACAAAAAAATGAAAAAGAATAATTTTTTTCTTTTATTTTTTTTCCAAAAAAAAAAAACTATGTTACATCTTCTTTGGTTGAACAGACAAATTAGAATTTTTGTTTTCTCATGCAATGAAACTTAGAAAATAGTATGTGTGAAGTAGTTAAGACAGATATATATATATATATATATATATATATAGAAAGAGAGAGAGAGCTGTGTAAATTGGTATTGTGAATAATTATAGTTCTACTGAAGTGTACACGTAACTCCACCTAGAGCCCTTCCAGGGTTACTGTCAGTCCCAAACCCGGATAAGAGTAGAGGGTTGGAGATGGTGTTGGCGACCCCATTCCTCGCCAAAAAAATCACTAGCCAGAAGAATAATTGACTGGTTGGCGGTGTAAGTATGTAAGTAACAATGTACACGTGGATTTTATCAACAGACTAGAAATAATATTTTATAGGTTGTTTGAAGAACTATTCAATGTATTACTGTATAGTTAGACAGTTTTCAGTTTCAATATTAAAATTGTTGGCTAGTACTGAAGATCGAAACCAACGAAAGAACTGCACACATTCCCTAAGAAAATGCGAGCAGTGGTAGTCATCAGTGGAATGCAGGATCTGATTCGGAACTATTCACATTCCAGCTTTTCCTAAAAACTTGTGACTTAGTGTAGGGTTCGTCACTAGGTACGCTTGAAGCTATTACGAGTTCACCTTAGTCGATAAACGCGAACGAGACAATTACCAGCGTCCAGATAGGCTACCTTAAATCCCAAGCTGAAGAAAGAAGGCTTTGTAAGCGTAGAAAGTATATTCTACAAACACCCAGCAATCAAAATACAATCAAGCACACAACTCTCGTTTATTTATACATCATAGAAGCGTCCTTCGGACAGTCACAAAAATAGCTCACTAAAATACGCAGCAGCCATGTATTCTCCTGGTGGGAAATCTCAAGGTCAACTGATCAGCTCATGCTGGCAAACGTGAAATCCAAAATAAGGCATTTAACAAGCGAGTTTCGGGGATCTAACATCCCCAGCACTTAGTAACAATATCGATGGCGTACATTCAATTTATAACTAAAACAGATTGTTCAATATCAGTCCTTAATCTCATCAGCAAGAATCAAGCTATCAAAATTTTAGAACTATACATAAAGTGGACAGTTATACAATATATATGAATATTCATATTGGTATATCCGGAAATATTAAACCAATCAATGCGATTGATGAATTAATACTCACAATGGAATAAATTGCATGACTAGAAATTATAAGTAAAAAAATACATCTAAACTGATAGTAAGAAGATAGATGTACTACTAATGGTAATAAGAAAGAATAAAAGCCCTAGTTAATATCGTAAATAGACCGAACGTAGATAAATAGGCTTGATAGTAACAACCATAAAACATTATTAAAATTATGTCGGTAAATAATGGGACAGTGATCAGCGGCTGTTACATTCTCCTGATAGGTTGAATATTTTTAAGTACCAGTAGAGAAATTCATGTGTATTAAGGTAAAACCTGATGGTAATCTAACAGAAAAACAATATTATTGTGTACTTTGAACTTTATCAATGCTAATCTTTAATATTTTAATATTACGACAATACTAATAATAATAATAACGTTGATAAATACTGTTGTCTTTGAAAAGTCTTAACAATCAGTAGTAAATTATTATACAATCATTCAAAATGGATACTTCTAAAGTATTAGGTTGGGACGGTTAGTCAATATACATTAAAAAGTACTTTAAGATTTGTTGATCTTCAGATATTATGACCATTTAGTAGAAGTTTATAACACTGGCCCTATGGAAAATGTTGATCATTATAAGATGTTAATCTGATTTATATTACTGTGGCACATGAAGGCAATACAAATGAGACTAAATTGATAACGGAGAATAAGTTGCGAGAATATAGCTAAAATTTCTAAGTATTGTGTAGGAAAGAGATAGATATTTTTAACTGTAATTAACAATACTGATATCAATTCTGTAGGGAAATTTCATTTACTGATATTCTTTTCCAATCACTGGACTCCTAATTACTCTCTTACACTTGTTTCCCTCAACGTAGCATAGGCTGCCGACCAGCATTCTCCAATCTACTCCGTCCTGAGCATTCTTTTCTTCGTATGTCTTCCTTCATCTCCTGGCGTAATGTGTTCCTTGGCCTTCCAATTTTTCCGTTAACCTTGGAGGTTCTGGGTGAGGGATTGTCTTGTGACGCAGTTATGTGATTTCATCAGTCCGTTGTCACTGATGGTGTCGGGTTAGCGGATCGGAATTATTTTGCTTAGACATCTGTTAATAAACACTTGTATCTTCTGGATGATGACTTTCGCACTTCTCCATGTTATGCTGAAGGACTTAGCCAAAATGTTGTGGTGAGAATCCATAACATCCAAACGAATGAATTCGCTCCGTCGCTCATAATAAATGCGTCGACTGAAAATCATATTTCCAAATTTTTATGACTAAAATTACCACAAAGTATTACTTTCAATATATAAGCAGAGTTACGCTTTCTTTTTCTGTTTCATTTTTTGACAAATAACTAATTATTTATCAACTATTTCCACATACGCTTATGAATAGTCAATAAAGTAGTATAGGACTCATCTGAAAATCATTACTTTGATTATAAAATCATTTATAAAAGAGTGTAGTATTGACCTTTAATTGAGTTTTGTTCAGAAAATTACGATTTAGTATAAAAACTAGGTAATAGTGAAGTTTTGTCATAGAAATATTTAGAATTACACTTTGTAGGTCAAGTAGTGGATAGGATAAAGAACAACTTGTTATTGATAAATAGATTAAATATATATCATCTGTAAGTAATATTACGAATCATAAGAAGACTGTAATTTCACCATGATACTTGTATTTCTCTGTTTAGTTTAACCTTAACTATCTTATGTAAATATTCTAGCATACAAATAAACCTGTTGAAGCTGTTATGTTAAAATGTATGGTGGCTGAGCAAACGATTAAATGGATTGATCACATTTCACTTAAATCTTGAATTAAACAGTATTTTATTTTAATGACAAACAGATTTTACCAATTAACAGTTTAATGCGCGTTAAATCAGTTTAAGATTTGAAATGATCGTAACCAATCTGAGGGAAATATTTATAACAATCAAAAACGATGTATATTATTTCATTGTATTCAAGACTTATCAGTTGCTGATGTTTTGGAGCAGCAGTTAAGAGAAACAAAGTTGTTTAGAATTTATTACACAATTAAACAGTGATTTTAAAACTAGTTAGTCATTCATGGTTATATATATTTTTCGAGAATATTTATTCTTATTTCAAGCTATTTGCTTCACCTTGATGTTTAACTTATACTGCAGAATGAACAACGAATTTGTGAATGACATCAATCAGTAATAATGATTTACCCATCGATGATTAGTTCCGTATTTATAGAGTTTTTGAATTCAGAGTATCAAGTTGTCTTTAGTGGAGTTTAATTCTAAGAAGGAGGATAATTTTCAATGGATGTAGTAGGTGTTGTTTGACTGATAATTTTAGTATACGAAGAAATGATAATTCAGCTTTCTGTAGTTAATTCACGGCTTGTCAGAAATGGTGGCAGTCTTAGGCTCTATCCTTGTTAGGTCATGGAGGAAGAAATATCTATCAACCGAACCTTAACTTTAAACTTTTATTCACCTATGGAGAATTCATTAGATAAACTAAATGTTATGGTTTTACATTGACTATTGGACTGTTAGTAATCCACTTTTAATACGTGACTAGCGCGATATGGTAAGTATATGTAATGCCATATATTTATATTATTACCAACATGTTTTATTTGTTAATCAGTCATTACAACAAGTATTTAGTTAATAATATGTATGTTATAACTGACAGATCGACATCTGTTATACACTATGCACTTGATGTTCTTTTCTAAAATCGCTTTGCCCATAAATTAAATTACAGATTTTAGTGTTGAACAGCCTTGAAATATATCCCTGTGATCTTCAACTTCTAAGTTACATTTGATATGAAATAAATACTTGTCTCACAAATAAAACGCATGTTGCGTATAAACTTTACATCGAGGACATATTTTTAAGGAAATGAGTATTGATTTATCATAATTTTATCAAAAATTGGAGCATGAGTTTATGCAAATAATTACGATATTATAACCTCTAGTATAAAATAAAAACGTAAATATATTTTTCTGTTATCTATCAGTAAGATTAGCTTACCTGTTCTAGAATGAGACTGTTTAAAGTTAGTTAATTGTGATTGGTTGTTTTTGTTAACTAATCAAATTTCAAGAAATTTTTAATGTCATATAAAACTTGTAAATGATACAATTCTTATAATTATGATCTTTTGCAATGTCATAATGAAGCATAAGCTTTTGGGAAAGAAGTCCAAGTTCAGTTTGTTTATTATTCTTATTATTATGGTCCAGTTCATACGCTAACAATGAAGTTGAATAAGAAGCTTACTGAAATCCCCGCAAATAATCAGTTCTCTCGAAATTTCGATCCTACATGTGAGTTTCATATGAATCCAGGTAGTTATCAGTCAAATGTAAATTTAATGAATTCCAACTTATCTGATTCTGTCGGTAAATCAATATCTAATCCAATATGTAGCGACTCGTATTTGTGTGATACAACTATGAATCAACTGTTAACTTTGAAATCGGATACCGCCAAGAAAGCGGTCACAAATACATCAGATTGTCCAATGACTCCATTTATCTCCAAAACATCAGATCTATTCAATACAATCGGATATCCAACTGGTCAAATGCATACAGATCATGAATTTCAACATGAAATTATTAATACCGAGAGTAAAACATTACCATCATGTAAATTATCAAGCAAAATAGTACCATACATACAAACTGTACCACATTTCATTTATATAAATAATCCTAGTAATAATAATAATAATAATACTAATAATAATGATAATAATCAGTTGACTGAATTAAAAACATTCACTTCAACTAAACATAATCCATCATCTGTTCAATCAGTAAAACATGAACAAGCAATTGTGAAAAACTGTGAACATATTTTAGAGAATAATCGATATGTCTGTCCAAATTACTCTATCAATTCATTGTCAACATCTTTATGTGAATGTAAAAGAGGAGAGAGTGATTTTGATTTTAGTAATATTTTATTTAATAATCCATCGGATTATTATTATCCAATTCATGAAATTCACAATCATCAAAAATTAACTCAGATACAATTAGAACAACAAGAACAACCACAACAACACTGTCGATCTAAAACAATGATGACACAAGAGAATAGTATTGACAAATCTAATTCAATAACATCTTGTATGATGATGAATTATGAACCGGGTGAAAATTTGATCAGATCAAGAATGAATTTATCAACCTATTTTAAATGGTGTCATAGGTATGTTTAGTTTTTTGCAAGATTTAAGAAAATAAATAAATATATAGTTTTATTGATTATATTGAATATTGAACAGTTCATTGAATTGTTGTCTTGGACTGAATCATCACAGCCTACTTCATCTCGATTTAATGTTTTATTCAATTTGATGTTATAAACATTTTGCAGTTTGTGTCAGCCAAAGGTTTTTTTCGTTACCATATTCTCCAGTTCTAATATGAATATGTCAATATACTGTCGACAATGGGTAATTTAAGAAAGTTAGTGAATTTCTGAGTGGATGGTATCAACTCTATTCTGAGTCCATCAGTCATATTTACAAATATCCAAGTTAATTATTCACATAAAAAAGGTTAATGGAAAATATTTTAGGAGATGAAGTGGAAAAAACAGTCATAACATTTGAAAAACGACTTAAATCCAACGGTTATTACAGCCGATACCAGGTACAATAATTAAAACAAATAAATGTGTATTAGTCTGTAAAATTGACTATTTATGGCTTATACTTAATAATGATAAACAAAATAACGTGATATCTGATATCCTTTTTCTCCTCATGTTATTGTTTTGAAAATAAGAATTAATTTTAGGAACGTAAATAACAGAACACAGAAACTAGAATTATTGTTGTGTAGTGTAAAAACAAAACAATAAAACTTGTTTAAAATGTTTATCAGTTGATTAAGAAACAAAACAAATTGACCATGAAGTGGAATTGAAGTTATGCGATTTGTTTAAAATGAGTACGGAAAAAAATGAATATCAAAAACGAACAACTCAACTGATTTGTTGTTCATTTTCCTCATGCCTGTCTCCGATTCTCGGCATAATGCGTTCTTTAGTCTTCCTCCTTTCCGATGAATTTTAGGATCCTCTGTGAGGGCTTGTCCTGTGACACAGGTAGGAGCTTTCCTTCATGTGTCCTATCCACTTCCTCCACTAGTTGGCGGTTTGTTCTCTTTCACATTAAGTTGTTGTTGATGAAGTCTGGCCAACAAATCCTCAGTATCTTGCATAGACAACAGTTACTTAACATCTTTATCATATCAATAATGGCTTTAATTGTTATTCAAATTTGCGCCTCATATAGTAGAATTGTCTTCACATTTGTATTTAATATTCTGACTTTGGTGTTGGCTGATAGTTGTTTTTGGTTCTCGATGATCTTCAATTGTAGAAATGCTGCCCTTGCTTTTCAAGTAAACTTGAATAAAATTTTAAATTGTTCATAGAAAATGTTTGTTTGATTAATTTAGTAAAAATAAAATACATTACAAGTAAATATTGGGTATGTTTCGATGCTGTTGTATATTCTGCGACATCGCTTCAAACTAAAATCTTGATTCTTGACTTAAACTAATAACAAAAAATTTATAAATTTTTTAAATGGTAAAAAGTGTATTTGATTAACAAAATGTCATACAATTATCTCGAGTTTAGTAATGGTAATTTATCTATTATCTAGTTAAACAAATTAGTACATTGAAAGCTTATAAAGCGAGAAATTACCACAGTTAATGTAGAATAAAAATATATTTGTTTCTGCGAAAAACTTTGACGAGTGGAAAAAGCAAATAAAAATAAATTTTGATGGGTTTCATCAAAATAATGAATCAACCAACATTAGACCATTCGAAAACTGGAGACACTAGACGACTTTTTTGTCCTGGTATGAGACTCATCAACAGTGCGCAAACATGACCCCTCCCCACAGGCGGGAATCGAACATAGGACCTTCGGTCTCGCGCGCGAAATCTCAGCCCTTAGACCACTGAGCAAGCATTTAACGGTGTTAACACCTAGCACTATATAAATAATTCATATCCATTTATCTATTATACAGAATTAATAGAATTTCATCAAGCTTCCAAATAAACCTTGTTTATAATCAAGTGTCATATTTAATTTTCAGAGAGTTTAGATTTCTTCGAGTCTAAAATATTAGTCTTAATAATTTGTAAAGATGATATGGTATGCGTTCTGAAAGTATAAGGAATATTTTACACTAAATATGATACCATGATTTTTGCAAAAAGAACTATTTAAAATGAAATGTACTGTTTGTTCTTTTAATAAAATATATGATTAGGTTTACTAGTGATCTGCGTTGAATAATGAAATTGATTGAGCATTTATTGAATACTAAGGAACATTCGGAAAATATTTGTTCCAGTATAGTATTCATTTTAATGGACACTTATGACACAGAAGTTTCGTACCTAGAAAATTCTGTTTTCATGACTAAAGTTTTACTTTAAACTACTGAGTGAAACTTCAGTAGTCTATACGCTGAAATTCAGTAGATTAACGACTGAAAACAAAAACTATTAACAAGCATACATTAAGTCTGTTTCAATGAACTTCACTGGTTGTGACTTTACGTTAGAACTTCAGAGAATTACTTGTGAACCATGTGATTATACTTTTACTACTGTAAAGGCTTTCATTTCAATTTGAAAACTGTGTTATTTATTGATTGGAATCAGACAGATTATAAAGTTATTTCTTTTGAATAAGGAGTTACTCATCAGTACACAGTCAATGCCAATCTGTAGTGAATAGCACATACAAAGAGAAGTACTTTTCACAAATCCTTCAAAGGGAATTAATTAACGTAAAAATAATTGAATGTCACTAGTAAAACAGCTCTTTTAGACTAATCAACTCTCATTAAATGATTTATAACTTACCAATATAAATTATGTTCAATTTCCTCCTTTTTGGTCACAAATAATGTGATGGCAATTCATTGTTGTGTATAATTGGCAATGAACCATTGAATGGAACACGTAGTGCTCCCCTGAATTTTGATGCAGTAATCCATAGATTTGAATAATTGACAGTTATCATATGAAATTCATAAAACTAATACTGTGATTTAAGTTTCATAGAAGATATTTTTTGTATATTCTACAGCTGGCAACTTTCTATCGTGGTAGAAATAAAAAAAAATTTCATATGAATTTCAGTTCGAACAGTTTCTTTTAGTGAAAAATTCTTGATGTAGTAAGCTTGTCTTGGATGTTTTTCAATGTCCTATTATTATTCAACAAATTTCATAGATTAAGCTTTGATCAAAGGTATTGTCAAGCAAATACCCCAATAATAATATCTTTCCATATTTAATGTGCTACGACGATCTTCAGATTCCATTTGTCAGATTTGTCAATCATGTTAACTACAACCTGTAGGCTTTATTGGTTTATTTAATTTTTATTGAGTAGAAATTAATATGTGTTTCCACTTGCTTCAGTAGGTTGATAGTACAACTACTTCTAATTTGAATATGAAACCGAAACACAAATTATACTTGCAAAGAGTAACAAACATTTCACCGAGAAATAATCACACACAACTCTTGGTTACTTTAGCAGATAAAACTATTTTTTTAAGATGTATCACAAATGAGGTTTTCACTTTGTCTTAAAATCAGTCGATTATACTGGACAGCCGTCAATTGTTGGTATGGTACTCATCATCCTGTTAGTCACAGGATTCTATGTCAGGACCTTCGATCTTACTCGTGAATGCCTAACTTCTGCACCACTCAGCTGATAACTGACGGTGTTAATGTCTAACTTCAACCAATCTACGGTCTTTCACAACCTCATCCACTGTCTACGACGGGAGGTTTCTTCGACTTCTAGTAAGAAGGCATGACCAATGGAGTTCAACCCTCTTTGGGTTTGAACCAGTGGATGAAGCTGTAAGAAACGGTGGATTGATCGAAGTTAGACATTAATAAATACCAGCTCAGTGGTCCAAAAGTTAGGCGTTTGCTCTTAGGAACGAAGGTCCTAGGTTAGAATCGTGCGTGTAACAGGACGAAACGGCAGTCCTTCACATTCAGGTTTCTACTGGTGGTCTACATATAATCGATTCATGATTTTAGTAAGAAAAATCTGCATTACCAATATTATATGCATATATAATAACCAGTAGGCAACAGGTTAATTTCAAAATTGTTACTGTAAATTTTATCAAGTGTTAGTCAACCAGACTGCGTCAACAACACTATGTAATGAAATCACTAAATGCAGCCATAATAATTATATATACATATGATTTTATGAGTATTCTGGTTAACTATATACACAACAGGAAGTAGTTAGTCGTTTATTGTCTACAATTATCAATTTACGTCATTGACTCTACTGAATAATTAATCGATTATATTTTGTATAAGCAAAATTCTATTCATTATTAGACTCATTATTATTAATTAGATAAGCAGTTGGTATGACAGTTTTCAACGATAAATAATTTTTGAATGCTGGATTTTCCTAAGTCAATCGTAAGATACAGTTATGTTTTTTCAGTGTGTTTCGTTCTCTACAAGAAATTCTTGCAGTAGAAAACCACAGACCAACTGTTCAATTTGAATTTGTGCACGTTCATATGAGTAATGAAATATCATACTTTTTTTCAGAATGATTTTACTTCAAGTTTTGGTTCTTGAATTAGGTCACAAATTTAAAATCCAGTTCTTGTGATTTGATCAAAACGTAAGTAGAGTAAATAGATGAAAATGATAAGCAAATATTCGAAAAGTAAATTTAGGGAAGACACTGTGAAATTTTGTCTGCAGATTATTTGGTAATTGGCCAGTTAACGTTTATGTTTTTAGACTAAAATGATTGGAAAAGTTAGAACTAAAAATACTGTTTATATAGGAACAATAAAACCAGTTGTATATTACTGTGTAATGTTTCATAAAAGGATGAGACAAACGCTTATTGATGATAATAAGATAACTGATTAATCTCCGACATATATCCTTCAGAAATAGTTGTTATTTCAACTTATGAAGCTAAAAATGCTTGGATCAAATATCACCTATATTTTTAAGGAGAACCATCTTCATGAAACTAGAGTTTGTCGGTCAAAAGGAAATGCTTGTAAATCATTGAGAATAAAAGTTTATTCCTCTAAGTTTTGCATTATCTTCTCTAGCCAGTCTCTTAACTCATTGTCATGTTACTGGCTAAGTTTCTGCCTTCGGTTACATCAATGTGGACCTATAGGTTTATTTGGTCTCTTGAAGAGTAGGTGATTTCAGGCGAACAAAGTTAGCACTGTCCAAACACATTTACAAGCATTATTCTAATTTCCTCACCAGAGGGTAATACAGAACGATCAACTAATCTGTACAGGATCATATCATCAAGTCTAGTTTCCAACATGGTTAAACAAACATACAACTATGATACAAAAATAAGAATAATGAGCATCTTATCTTTTAGTGACTTTTTCCAAGGTGTTCCTGCTAACGTTGATCATTATATTACAAACAATGTTTGTTCGAATTCACAAACCTACTTTAATTAACTGAACACAAAAAAGGCTCGATAAAGACTGGGATAGGATTTCATCTTGTTTTGAGAGAATGTTAAACACTAGTTACTAGTGAATTCGTCAAGGGTTCAAATCAGAACGTTCCATCGAATGACAAGTAGGTTGTAGTTACTGTCAATGGATAAACGAATTATCTTCAAATGTAAGATTACGTCAACAAGCATTTTTGATTTAAAAATACAGTGTCATAACAGACGTATCATTAAACACAAAACTGTAGCTAATAATTTTTTGTTCGTTAAAAATCATGTTGAATGTTGTATTGTTAGCAAAACAAAACTAATCAGTAATTATAATAACTGTCAAATCAATTAGTGAATTAGCATCAAAAAGTTTCTTATTGAATAGAATGGTTTATCACGTAACACTTGCCTCTGTAATTCTAGTTCTGTCAAGTTATTTGTCTGAATTGAATGTTGATGTTTGACATTGTCACTTATTTGACTTTATTTTGTCAAATTGTACTATTCACAAAAATAACTTTTTACGTTTTCAAGTTAGGCATTATCTACTATTGAACAATAAGTTTTGTATGATCTTTTGAGGGAACATTTTTACACAATAATGAAATTGATATGCTTGTTAATTTTCAGAAAACGTGTCGTTATTTTTTGCTAGTTATCTGTGAAACCATTGAACAATGAACATCTGCTACTTAAGAGTTTACAGCCATGACAATTATTAAACAAAAGAGTTAAGCGTTCTCTCTACATGGTTATTTCTGTTTTGACATTGAATCATATCAAACTGAAGTTAGGAAAAACAATTTAAGTAAAAATACATTTTATTCAACTTCTCAACAAACTCTTCTATTACAAATCGAGTTATCAATTTTAGAATATTTAGACTATTGTGGCTAACTCAATGATGGTTCTCTCTATAGAAAGTTCTCTACTCGAAAAACATTTATTATTCTGTCATCAAAACAGTTGTTTAATTTTAAAGTTTATTTCAATAAAAGATAACGTCCTATTTGTTCCAAAAAAGAAATTTAACCGCCTCAATAATTATCATGTTTTAAAATCAGTTACATCAGTGAATGAACTAATTTTGACAAACTGATCGAAAACAGTGAATAGGTATTAATCGCTTTACAGAACCGCTGATTCACGATTACACACTATATCAATCTGAAGAATTTCAAATTTCAAAACTAACGTGAAACCACGTAAAAGTATCAACAAAATCTTGCGATCAACTATATCACTTGATTCAAATTAAACAGAGTTGTCTGTAAATTGTACTTTCCGAAGATGATTAGCATGAATAGAATAAAATTACAACTTTTTGATGTCAAACAACGTGCAACAGCATTACATACCAACTTATGGTTACTACTATGAAGATTAAGCACTCTGAGATTCCTAATGCAGTTTACAAATTTCATAATAAATTAAACGTGTACAGCTAACAAAGAAGAGACAATTTCTCAAGATCACTGATATTTTTTGCTGATCATTACAGTTTTTCATTTTGTATTTGAAGTCCAGGTCAAACGAGTCAAACGACTTTATATTGAACATGATGATCAGCTAATAAGCACATATTCTTCGAAAACCATCAAACCACCGAAACGTGAGTTTCAGGCATCAGCAACAGCGAACGTTTTGTATGAACCGGGATGTTCGTAACTGAACTCAAGCATATATATAATGCCAGAAAGTTAAATTTTATCGTCACACTAGTTCCCCAACAGGTCTTGTTCGTTCTCTTGACAACAGGTTCCAACATATGCATATGGATATTCTGGGACCACTGCCAATTTCAAATGGCGTCAGTTATAAATATTTGTAATGAATTCAATAATTGTATCAATCATTATATATTTTGAAATTGAGACAAAAATTTGCATTTTGAAGTAACGGCTGTCAGTACGAGCAGTATACGGAATTTAGAAAGATCTTCAGTATTCATAGATTCGATCATGATCTTAATGCTGTTTCCATTTAGAATAGTGACCAGAGCATCTTGAAATATTATTCTTTTTTATTCATGATTTTGTTTTTGATGAACTCAAACAACAGATATCACATCAAGTAATTTTCCCCGATCTCAACGACATTTACATTGGTACTGTTAGAGTTACCTTAGATTGAATCATTCAAGTATTATATATAATAATATTATAATGATGATTACTTCAACAATCGGTGTCAGCTCATATATATATATATATATATATATATATCATCACATTCAACGCTTTCTGACAAGTATCAGCTAATCCAGTAGGATAGATAAAATTTTATTACAATAACACAATCGTGACAACGCCTCGAGCCCTTCAAGGGTTACTGCCAGTCCCAAGACCTAAAAAAAAGGAAGTGGGTTAGTGACTTCATCCCACAGCTGGCTAAAACTCGCTACCTGAGAAAAATAATTTGCTGATTGGCGGGCTAAATTCCATTAGCGGTAACAAGCATAAATAAGTGAGTAAAATCGTGACAGAAAACAAAGCATTTATTTGGTGAAATTTATTTCATTTTATATTGATAATGTAATAAATAAAAACTGTCAGATGTCTTCTGGTAATGTGTTTCTTGTCAATGGCAAGATAGATATTTGCATTTTTGGAATTAGTGAGTACTTGTTCAGCTGTAACAATAAATTATTTAACATTGAATGCAACCGAAGTAGTTTATTAAAACACATTTCACTTACATGATTAATACATGCAATTAAGTGATAAACAATACAGGTTTTTATAACATTCAAAAATATATGTATTTTTCCAACTTGGTTCATATTGTCTGACGAGAAGTGATATCCAGTTTATGTTGTATAATGAATTGAAAAATTCACTACATGGTAAAGATAATAGATCAAGTTGTTATTTATTTTTTTAAGAGAAATAAATTAAATATTACATTACATAAATATTACATAAATATTTATGATAAACGATGACTGTTTACGTTCGTATCAGTTGAGTAAATCAACAACTTGTCGTTCAATACTTTTGGCACTGTTATAAAGTGTTTATTTACTGGAGTGACGTGCATTGGTTGGAAATATGATATTCGTCTTGAATCCATTTTCTGAAAACAACTTTTGAGGCAATGGTATTTTCTTTATTTTTAGCTCAATAGTTTTATTTAATCACGAATAAACTGTGCCGAAACTAAGATCTGAAAGTTTTTCGCTAAATCTAATATTCATTATTTAGAAGTTTTAACATTGTTTACTAATTCATTAGCTTCTGATGTTTGTTTTAGACAATCGATACGTAAACTGAAGCTGCTGCACTAGGGTTGATATTATTTAATATAATTAACAATTTTATTTTTTAATATCTAATTTACAATTTTTTAAACATTCAAATTAAAAAAAATTGAACAATTAACACAAAACATTCATTGCAAATGCTTAGTGAAAAAAAATCAGTTGTTAATAATACAGATTTTAATTGTTTTTTGATTCAGTTTTTAATCACAAACAAGCGATAGTTCTGTTTTTATTTCGGAAATTCAATTATAAATTGATCTAAATTGATTGCCATTCTAATCATTTCACTATGTTCCATCAGATTTTTAAGCTAATTAGTTGAATGTCCATTGTCTCTGTTAATTTTCTCTACTCTTCCAAAATACGAATAGTCCGCGCTAACCTAAAAGGAACAATTAATACATCATAACTTAAATAGTTGATAAATCGTTATTGTTGATATTCAGAGCTAAATTGACCAGCTTTTACTTAATACATATAGGGTCTGTGAAGTTTTGTCAACAGATACTTTCAGCTGTTTAGTTTCAACTAGAACAGAAACGACAACCTGATGTTGATGAGTTTATTTTAGCTTGACTATAGTAAATTCTTATTTATGATTTAGATTCTTTATTGCACTGGTTAATTTGGAACTGAATACCTAATATATAAGAACATACCAAATCATTAACGTGTAAAAATAGGTTTTCGGATAATCTTTTATATAATAGGTTTAAAAAATCATAGAAATCAGTATTGAAATTATGCGACAATCGAAATTAAATATAAAGCACTCACAGTAATTTTTAGCGGTTTTATCGGAAGTTCTGTAACACTGTTATTTGTATGGCATCCAACAGTGTTAGTATCTAACTCTGATCAATCTATCAGTAAATCTAATTTTATTTCTTTTTATGCTAAATGTCTTACTACAATCCGGCTTATTCTAACTTAATAGAAAAATAGGTTATATAGGTTATATCATGAACATTAAACAATTATCTATCATATCTTTATGATATAAACATTTATCTATAACCCTGTTTACTACTTACTAGTTTATTCTGTCATCGGTCTCCATAACAATGGGATACTAGCTTCAGGCAATTGTTTAAATCGTCATTTAAATTTTTATAAAATGATAAATTTTGTCATGAAGTATTAACAATGACAGACAACAAAATCTTTAAGCAAACAATATCATGAATTTATGCCTAGCTTTCTTAAAATTTATCAATTCAGTCAATCGCATACAGCTGTATAAACTTTTATTCAGTAATATCCTTCGTCAATATCATTGACGACTACAGCTACGTACACAATATGAAACTAATCATTAAGCTGTGTTAGTTAGTAGTGTGTAATGCAATGAATTGCTCTAAAAACATTCATAAATATTTGTAAACATGAGAATTAGTAATATTAAAGCTTTACTCTTTAGACTTATAATTAATAAACCAGTTATGTGTTTAACAAGATTTTGTGGTCCTCAGAAATTCTTCATACAAGGTTTTCCATGCTAATAAAGTGAAGTCGATCGAGTTGAAATAAGCTTCAAATTAATTGGAGAATAATTTTTACATAACTGAACATTTTACATAATACATTGTTATACCGTCTGATCATTACGCTTATCCAGCTTGGATTGTTTAACAGAATATTTCAAATGACTCAACTAAGCAGTTTAAAATCCTAGGATCCCATTCCAATCACAACTGATTTTTAGACACTGTGGCCATTACGCAACTGTCCATGTAAAAAACTACTTACTCATAAACACTAGCATGATTGCCAATTTAAACTGATGTACTATTTTTCCCACATTGGTTAACAAAAGATAGTATCATAATAGTGTTCTAAAACTGCCCATCTAATGACCTCCATTGATCTGATGTATTCTGTTTTATTGATAATTCTTTTGAAATAATCCTAAAAATAAAATCTCCATTCATTTAATTTCTACCAAATTTTATTGCATTTTCCAGATTCACAATGACATTGATTTGTCTCTTGATTTTTACATGTCTTTGCTATCGAATTATTGATTATTTCAATCGACATGAAATGATGAAATCACTTTTTGTATATAATAAATTTCATGTATCCAAAAAAACTTCAGACAAAAATATGCACAATAATGAAAATAATAATTTATTATCATTAATGCCTGAAGATGAACAAAATCTACCAGAATGGTTTACAATTACATTGTGTAATCTAAATCCTATCCGGTGAGTAGTAAGAAAAGTAACATACGATGTATTTGTTCTATTATGCATGTTGTATACAGAAATTTTAAAAATATTTAACTACAATAATTATAATATTAGAAATTGTTTTATTCAAAATCATGAAAACTTTTTGACTTCAGTTGTAAAATATCTTAACCTGTAATTTGATAAAATTCCTCAACAAGAATAAAGTTTATGGCTTAAAAAATATTCAGTGCACATGAAAATATGAAGTGCTCAGCCGTTAAACTACTAGAATAGAATTCGTTCAATTCATCTGGTACGTACCAGTATTTACGGAAAAAAATATGTTTAGCCAAAACCAAGTAACATATCAATACATTCGGTTAACTAATTTATGTGTAATGATGTGAATTATGGCTATCAGTGGCTATCAAGAAATCTGTTTCATTCTGTTCTACACTAATCAGCTGGACGTTCCTGAAATTCAAAGTTGGTTTTCAATCTAGGATGTGAACTCAGAACTTTCTGCTTCAGACACCAGCTCATTTTTTAATTGATAATTGAGTTCATATCTATCTGACAGGTTACAAAAAAGACAAAACCCGCGTTTTAAATTCCACTGCTAGTCAAATTCCGTATATTCTATGTAAAATTATGTCAGAATAGCTTATCGAGACAACACACAGAGAATGCACACATGCCAACTTTTAACAAGGGGCCAACCCAAAACATTACAAATTACAATAGGACTTAATGTTTATTTCACAAACTAGAAGTAGTCATTGTATCGTGCTGTTTTCTAATGCTATATATATTATTTATTACGAGGTTGTGAAGATTGTCAAGTTACACATTTGAAATCATGAATCGATCAATGTTAGACCACTATTAGAAACCTGAAATCACTGGACGATAGTCAAATCTTGATATCAGACTCATTAAAAGTGCGCATCCACAACTCTTGCGCCTCACAGGATTCGAACCCAAGACCCTCGTTCTTGCACGCAAACGCCCAAAACTCTGGAACACTGAGTCGGCATCCAACGGTGTTATTGTCTAACTCTAATCAGTTTGGAGATTTCGTGCAACCTTATTAACTTTTCGTTGGTTAATACTGCCTACACACAACCAAAGCTCCTGGATTCAAATCCTGTGAGATGCGGGAGTCGTGGTTGCCACACTGCTGATGAATCCCATACCAGGATGAAATTGCCATCCAGTGCTCTCACGTTTCTAATTGTGGTCTAATATTGATCGATTCACGATTTCAAATGTAATTCAACCAGATTATTTCTCAACTACTGAATAATGAATACACCGTCGGTTCATTGAATAAATGAATCAATATTTTCAATATTTTCCCTTTTTCTTTTTCTAGTGGGAGTGCATTGTTTGCTGTGGAAAATGGTTCAGAAATTTATGATAATATCAGTAAAAATCGTCAACATGAAATAGATTTCAATGGTTTAACTAAAAGAGTGAATGTTGACAACACTTTTGTATCTAAAGCAATACTTAAACGAACTGGACATAAATTGAATGAAATGCTAAAATTGTAAGTCAAATCAGTGGTTGTTTTGAGAAAACAAATGTTGTATTCATTGTATTAATTTATTGAACTAGCAAATTAAAAGTGATTAATTTAAACAGAACGGAAATGTTTTAGTTAACTAGTTCTTATTTCTATGATTTTATTATTGCTCAATAAAATTTTATTAAACACTTTCTAGACAATTTTCATCGCTAAATTATTACACTTGACAATGTGATGTCAAAAAAAAGTTACTTTATGATGAAATGTTTTTCAGACACATAAGTAACAATAGCAGACTTAGCGTGTTAGGTTGAAAGAATGCGAAGAAAGTTATATGTCATATGATGATGTTGGTCATACATTGTATGATTGTATGAATTATAGCCATGAATTTCTAGCTAGTTCATAGTCTTAATGTAATCAAATAATTTACTTGATAACATGCAAGCATTCACTTGCTAATGAACATTGAATTAAGTATGAGTTTATATATATTCAATGTTATCAAGTTCAGAGTTATTTATAAAAAAATAAATCTCATTCATATCTAATATAACTAACTTTTAAGATTGAATAGACATGTGATACTACATATGCTTAAAGTGTATGAAATAATATTGCCACAAAACATTATGAATTTTTTTGTCAATTAGACTTATGAAGATTAATATTTTTACACATTGAAATCATCAATCAGTCATTGTTTGACTACCATTAGAAACATGAGAGCACTGGATAGCCGTTTCGGCCTGATATTGAACTCATCAACAGTGCGCGTCCACGACTCCTAGATCTCACAGGATTTGAACCAAGGAGCTTCGGTTGGGTGTAGGCAGTAACTACGAACGAAAAGTGGATGAGGTTGCACAAAATCTCTAGATTGATCAGAGTTAGACATTAACACCGTTGGATGCCGGCTCAGTGTTCCAGAGATTTGGCGTTTGCGTGCAAGCCCGAAGGTCGTGGGTTCGAATCCTGCTATGTGCAAGAGTCGTGGATGCGCACTGTTGATGAGTGTGATACCAAGATTTGACAATCGTACAGTGCTTTCAGGTTTCTGATGGTAGTCTAACAATGACTAATTGATGATTTCAGTATGTTAAAACATTACAGCCGTTTTGTTCACGCAGCAAATAATTACGAAACTCAATTCAATATTGATAGGATATTTGAAAAACTCATCGATTATAGCTGGGTCAGTGACCTTCTTTTCAAATCACTGGGTAAAAGAAAAACATGAAACTAATCTATCGACATTTGACACCTATAAAGTATAAAATTGTTAAGAAAAGATAGGGTATTTTCTCCAATGTATTTAAGTATGAAAAATTTAGTTGACTAGATTACATTATGATAATTTTCGAACTCCGTGAACAAAAAAAACACATATTTCATTAATATCCAAAATCCTTTCGATTTCTATGGCATGCTCATTGGTGAAATTATTAGAAAAAAGTCCATTTTTCGCTAAACACTTTTTTGTTTGAAATGTTTGTAGACATTAGTTATCTGATTTTCAGTGTTTTACTTAATTATTTTCCATTCTAAAATATCTTTAAAACAAAAAATGGTTCGCATTCTTGATGTGTTTTAATGTTCACCTATTGAACAATGATCAAATAAATGCGCTAAACTGCTTGAAATTAACCGACAACTTAAGTACATTAGCTGTTTGATCTAGATTTTGAAAAAAAAAAAAACAAAATAATTACAACCTAAAAGCCAATAAAAATGAAAAAAAGTCATAACACTTAGTTACCTTGATTATCTTGAAGAATAAAAAAAACAGCAAACAAGAATTTTTCATTAGTTTTAAGATTGAAAAAAAACATTCTCATCAGTTGATCTTGATTTCATGTTACATTCAATCGGGTATGTAAATCTACGTGAATTTTTCATAGTAGTTTCATTGATGTTTAACAGAAAGAACGTCTTAAATTCGATTCCAAGAACATATACTAAAAAGTCTTAAGTCAAAGAGACTAACTATTTTCAGCAGTGGTAATTCAAAATATATCTTTCAAACAGTATATCAGGTTAAAATCCTTTACGATTAGTCGACAATCAAACTCTTCCTTTTATGATATTCCTTATGAAGTTACAAAGATTTTTGTTTTTCATTGAAATCAAAAATTGATCATTTTTAGACTGACATTTAAAACATGGAAGCACTGGACAGCCATTTTGTTCTAGTACGGGACTGATAAGCAATGCGCATACACGCGCAGTTACTTACTAAAGACATTGGTTGAGGATCTGTGATACTTTAGATTGATTAAAGCTATATACCGACGTGATTCTTGCGAGTTTAAGAATGGTCTCACTTCTTGAATAAATGTATTCGTTTAGAAATAGTCGAAAAATCATTCCTTTGCATGGTGACGTTATCCTACATTTTATTTACATCATTCTTTCCTCTCGTTCGTTTATTTTGATTGAACAATTTTCATTGCATACAAATTGATAGCGACATTTTCAGCTTCTTGATTTTGCGTCATGTTATCGCTAATTTCTACTACGTACATTTTATGACAAAACAATGCATAATCAAGTGGAATGTTAATCAGGAATTTACACCGACTAAATCGGCAATTAATTTGACACAAATCATGAACGTAATTTTATGGCACAATGTAGAACGTGTCGAAACCTAATTACTCATAACGTCATTAGAAAAAAAAATGGAATTCATTTTAAAATGTGACTTAACTGTTTTTGAAGAAATGTCTCCTAAAAATTACAGCTTGTAAAAAACAGATTTTTATAAAAAAGTATTTAAACTAATTCAGATTATCTGAATTAGTTTCAAGCAAAAGCTTCCTGTAAGTCACTTTCTATTATGGTTATTTATAGTTAGAGTAGTGAAGATGTTAGAAAACTACTAGATTACTTTAATTGAAAATTTATCACTCTACCTTAAACAGATACCTAGTATGACACTGGGTAATTTCCGATCATGTTGATGTCTCTATGATTTGTTGAGCTAAATTTGTGGTAAACTTGGATGTTTCTTCGTTAACGACATTATTATAAGCATCAGCAATCAGTGATTACATTTAAAAGTTTGTCTAGCAATGAAGAGCAAAAGATACTTTTCAATCCATTTAGGATTTCTCAATTGAATTAAACTATCCACATAGTGAAAATTCATACCATTAGATACTCATTTAATACAACCATAAAATTCAGAAAAAGGAAACTATAAACACTCCCTACGAAATCTGATAACAATTACAGAGATATTTTTACATGGTAGGGTTGTAGAGATTTTAAGTTACTTCTTGAGACAATGAATCAATTTATGCTTAACCACCATTGGAAACATGGAAGCACAAGACGGTCGTCAAGGTCTGGTATGGGACTCCCAAAATTCGTAAGACCTTCTGTCTTGCGCGAAAGCCTAAAATTTGGACCACTGAGCTGGCATCTAACGATGTTGATTTCTAACTTCGATCGATCCACCGTCTTGCGAAACCTCACCCGCCATCTTCAATGAGCATTGCTTAACAACCGAACAGGGCTCAACTCGGAGAAACTTCCTGACGGATCTAGTCACGAGTGAAGGTGACAGTTTGAAAATTCGCTCATGAGTCCCATTCCGGGACGAAACCGTCGTTCAGTGCTTCCAGGCTTCTAATATTAGGCTAACAGTGAGATATTTTACCAAATGGCTAAAATCATTAAAACCACAATGATCCTATGAATTCAAAATTAAACAGTACGTTTATTTTTACGATATACATTTAAATGTTTTGATTCAATAACATTTAACTGTTATTTATTCTAATTAATTTTTCATATATATATATATATATATATATATATATATATATATATATATATATATGTACTTTTTAACCTACCAATGGCTATTTAAAAAGTCGATTCAGACTGCGGATGTGTCTAGTAACAATGAAACTAGACACAAACGTTTTTTGAAGTTTATTTAGGAAAGTCTTTTATAGCACTACCGGATACAGTCATAGCTCTGTCATAGACTTACCAAAGCGTCCGACTAAAATATCTATTTCCTGACTTACTTAATTCTCTACAATTATATTAGCTTTGAACGTTAATAGTTGTGATTCTTTATGAAATTCGTCAAATGAACACTGCCCAATATTCTTGAAATTTAACAAAACAAATACTGATTTCTAGTTCGTTACTCAGTGAATTTTAAGTAGATTCTTTTTACAGTAAAAATTTTATCATATTTGCAAAGCAATATTTTGTTTTAGAAAGGTTTTCAATACTGTGAATAAGTTTGAAAATGAAGCTGAACGAATATTTTTTTATTTAGATTAGATTATCAACATGATTAAAGAGTGGTTCGGTGAAATTTGAATGTGTTTTGATTGATTAAGCCAGCAACTAATCATAACTAGACTACCGTTGAAAACAAGCAAGTGGTGTATGACCATTCTGTTATAATGTTAGACATATCAGTAGTGCGCATCGATGACCACTGACACTCGAGTCAAATCTTGGAGTAGTCCTATACCAGGACGAAACGGCTGTCTATTTCTTTTGGGTTTCCGACAGTGGGCAAGCTAAGATCACTCAGTAGTTTCAACTGTAAAAGTTCTACACTATTCACAAAATAATATAATAATCAAGAACACGAAACGTCTATGCATGTTGGTGTTTTCATCTACTTAATTTAAAGATGAATTTGTAAAATATATTCAGTTTCTTTTAAAATTGTGTGAGAAATTATACTGAGCAAATTTGTCCCTATACAAAGAATCTTAATTTACAAATACGTACATTTAAATATACTTACTATTCATTAGAACCGGTTAGATTATTCGCATATAACTTCCAAAGTACTCCTAATACTATCAGGGATGATTCATACACTGAATTCATTTCAGACTAGTCACGTATATATGAAGGAGATATTTCCTCACTGTTCAAAATAATAGCTTCAATCATGTATAAATGGCATCATGTTTTTAAAAGACATGCAACACCTATCTACTGAAATTAATGTAATCATCAACTAATTATTATGTATTGAAACTCTAAGCCTTCTAAAATATCAAGTGGACAGATGACTTTGGATAAATATCATTGTAAATAAATCTAACCTCGAACAATATCGTAATATTTTTTCTGAAAGTGTTGACTGATATCATATTTAAATGAAGGAATGTAACCGTCATGAAAATATCCATTGTTTTTTTCTGAAAACCCTCTGTTTCTGAAGATTTCAATAAATAGCGCTTCAATGTACAGTCATGTTCTAGAGTTAACTAGTTTCTAGTAAGTCAGTCCCTCAGTCAGTTACGACGTAGAGCATCTTACGTATGTACGTCAGATCAAGTCGCCATACCACATTAGCACACAGAGGTCGAATTGTCATAGTAGGAGACGTAGTAGAGGTATTAGCATTAATGGAGAAGATTAGTAATCGAAGATATCATTCGACAAGTATATCTCAGAAGAATCAATTTAATAATGAAGAGAGAGAAATAACGGTCATAATGAATTCAGAGAATTATAATTAGAGAGAAGATAAATAATAGATGCACTTGCTCCATTGCAAACGTTTTTGTACCATGTTATTCAAGGTCGCTAACCATCGATTGCTTTCATCTCGCAGATCACAACTAGGTAGTTTACATTTATCACTGGTCAGTGACTTCATGGATTTGTGGCATGTTTTAGTTTGGCTGCCCCTAGTAAACTACTTGTCACTAACATTTATGAAATTATTATTGAAATTCTACTGACAAAACAGCTAAAAATGTTAGTTAATAATTTGAGGATGAAATCAACGTAATGGAAATTACAGAATCTGTCTTGTGTATCACTACCAGTTATATATTATGCTAACGCCTTCGAAGAATATTGTCCTATGAATAAATAAATTTTTACTGATAGCGTCAAAAGAACACGTAATTCAAAATAGTATTTAGTTGAAATTATTTAAAAATCACTTTTGTGTTTCAACAATAACTGTGAGACGTCCAGTTAAAGATTTATTCAGGAATATTGCTTTATGAAGTATTGTCATTTTCCAAATATCACTATGATACTGCATAGATGTATTCCAAAACATTCTAATATACATTATATAGATAGCGGTTTCAAACTATACAGAAATATAACAATTTCTAACAAAGCATATAAGTCATTTAGGTTAATGACAGACTTCAGGTAAATTATTTACAGAGTGAGATGAAATCTTGAAAAAAATAATGCTAACCGAAAAAGCTGATATCACAATGAGACTAGATCTATAAACATCATTTATCTTGTGTGAGTAAATATGATCTGTCAAAGTCTATATAAACAATGCTTGAATAACTATACGAGATAAACTGATTCCAAGTAAACAGTTATATGCTTCCGATATTGAAAACTTTTAACGCATGAAATGAAATGGCCAAAATAATCGAAGTTATGAAAGAAAACGGAAACCTGAATCCTGTAAATATTCTGTCAATTGATGTTGTTAATAGAATGATTTCCGTTTAACTGTCATAGTTATTGATTTGGGAAAGGTTATCTAAGCTTCACTGACTTATCAGTGATATTAAAATGTGCTTTCCACCCTTTTTGATTGATTTATCCGTGTAATCAATACCATAGTTTGAAAAAATAATTCACAAAATATAATAATAATAATAATAATAATGTTCAGGCGCTTACAATGGTCTTTTCTTTTTACAGTTGCTTCACTGGAAATGAACAATGTACGCATAGAAATTTTACATCTGTTCTAACTATATATGGACAGTGTTATCGTATGAAACTGGAGCCATCAAGTAAGATTATACTGTTTGCCATCTTTTTTAAATCAATAATACAGTGGTTTATTTCAAACAATATAGAATTTTGTTGAGAGACATATAGTGACGTGTAATTTGTGTACAAATATGGTTTGCTTCAATAAATCAATATCAATGCTATTTAATAACTAATGTGGTCAAGTGTTATTTAATAGAACAGAAAATGTTTTCATTTGTCGATGAGTAATTGTCACTTAACTACAACAGTATAATGTGAGTACTTTTATGTTGAGCCCATAGGGCTTTGGACAATTCAATCAATCCATTCCATGCACAAGTCTTTCGATCTTGCCATAATATTCACTTATATCTTGGTTGTTTCTATTCCACTGAGTGTTTCTGTGTGTGTGTGTGTGTGTGTGTGCTGATCTCTTTGCTTATCGCATGTCTGTTAAATGAGTTAATAAAGAGAACGTTAAACGAGTAGTATTTAACATTGAATTACATTGCCGATACGCTCCATTCCATTCCATATTGTTCAATATTCTAATTTTCAATAAGCTATTCGTTGTGTTTTTTTGAACTCATAAATGGTTAATATTTAACAAGTTACAACACCAAACATTTTCATTAAACTTGTTTAAATCATAAAGAATTTCATGAAGCAACAAGGCATGAACGATTTCTCTCTCTTTGACTGAACAATAATTTCAAATATAAAAAAAATTTGACAATAAAACAACACAAAACTATTTTTTTTTTGCATTTTCATTTCATCATATTCGTGCACTAATATTTCTCTGTTTTTTATTTCATTTTTTCAAATTTTTTAAGTTCACACAAAATGTTACAATTTTTTTCTGATACCATAAACGTCAAACATCAAGTCTTAGACATTAATTCATGCGTTATTCTTAGTGAATATTGTGACAGTGTATAGTTTTATGTGTCTATAGGGTAAAAAGAAAATATCACTTGATTAATTTCTACAGTTATCCAAAATAGTTTAATCTCAAACGGTAAAGAAAATCCCCTTTCAATAAATCCCTTGTAGTTAACTTGATTAAAACTTTGTTACTGTGTAGTAAGTGAACTGTTGTTGTGAAATATTTTTGAAAAAATGATTTCAATTTATTTTATTTTTTATGAATTTTACAAATCAATGTCTGTTGAGATTTTTTTTCACTAAGAAGACAAAAATAAACTCACTGAAACACACATAATAAAATTTAAATAAAGTTGGATTTGTTTTCAGTGTTAAAAAGTCCAGTTAATTAGGCATATTTTAGTTTGTTTAAGCTTCAGTAGAACACGTGTACAAATTGTCTACCTAAAAGTAGGTATATGATACCAGTTAGTAGTATTTAATGACTTATATTCAAAACAGTATGATTATATTTTGGCAGTGTTTATGCCTAATCTTGAAATCATGAATTAATAATTCTTAGACCACTTTCAGAAACTGGGAAGCCTTTTCATCGATATATGGGACTCATCAGCAGTGTAGATACACGACACTCGCTGCTGGCAAGAATCGAACCAATGACCTTTGATCTTGTGTACGAACGCTTAACATCTGGACCACTGGGTTGGCATCCAACGGTGTTATTGTCTAAGTGTGATTAATCTATGGATTTTCAGAAACGTCATCCATGATCTTCGGTAGTTACAGCCTACAACCGAAGAGGGTTAAATGCCACTGATCACGTCTTCTCACTTGAACTTCAAGCATTCGCTCACGAAGCTTGTCTCTACTGAGCATATTGTACGATTTTTCATCATAGAGTCACGGAGATGGTTTTTTATTACTGAAATCATTAATCAATCGTTGTTTTATATGTTCTGTAGATAAATATGATAGATTTTTTTATCTTTTACGGGTTGATAGTTGTGAATACAACCAGTAGCAAGATGGTTATCTACTGAAACTGCATGTCAAGGGAATTTGATGTATGAAACAATTCATCTGAATAATAAATCCGCTGCAAATGTTTTCTACATTGTTAACAGTATATGAGTGATAGAAAGTGTTCGTCTAATCAATTACTTCACCTTGTCACTCACAATCATTAGGACCATTATTTGTTAGCCTAACGATGATTCATTCTAGATTTAAAGGTGAAGCTACCATCTTCATAAAACTTCAAGTTAACAAATGTTTGTTAATAAAAACATGGATTATTTGCGTGGATGATATCTTATTACTGTAAAGTCTTATTGTTTAGACTTAATTATTACAACTAGATAATTTAGGTTGAATGGCATTATTTAATCTCACCATAAAGCTTTTCATTTGGCGCAATTATTTAAGACAGTAAATACAGATTAAAAAATAATGACATATGAACTGTCTTCATTCTGGTTAGGTACTCAAAAATCCGTTAGATAAGCATTGTTATTTCATCCTTTCTTAGACATAATGTCTAAAGAAAAAGTATTTCTTTGAATGAGGTTGTGGAGGTTGTTGAATTGTATTAAAATTACGAACCACACTATGGTAAACAACCAGGAAGAATCTGGAAGCCGTGTCTGCGCCGTCTCAGAAGTGTACATCCACAACCACACAACCGGTAATCTAAGCTAAAACCTTCACTCTTGTGTATGAACACTGAAACTCAAGACCACTGAATAGAAATCTAATAGCATACAAATTTAACTTTGAACAATTCCCCATCGTCCATTGTGATCAGTGAGTACTTCCATCATACCCAACATTCCGGGATTGTTTTGTATATCATTCAATAGTCATAAAGTTAAAATGATCAATCGTAAAATGAAGCTTAACTGATTTTACTTTTATTATATTCTATGTCACTCGTCATTAAACTTTTATTGAAAATTAATTCTTACAAATCTTTAATGTTTGCAATTTTCTTTTTATAGATGCCTAATGTAGATTAAATCTCTTTTTTTTTACAGAGTTTAGTTTAAATGAATAATAATAATCTTTTGCATGTACTAATATTGAAATAATGTGATTTGTAATTGTTAATTTTATTTCATTGAAAAAATTCACAACACCTTTGGAACCAGTAACGTCATTTGTTTAACGCTTTCAGAAAAAATGTCAATGAGAAACTGAAGAATGTCTTTTAAAACAATAGACAATAGTGATAGTTCTTATTAAATATAATTGAATATGTTTAAAATATGCACATGTTACATGTCTGGTAAAACGAATAATATAAAATATGCAAATTTTTTTAAAAAAATACTGTTTATAGATACTTTACAGAATAGATATGAAAATTTCTAGTACAAGCTCAACAATGATGTAGATGCGCTGACGCTTTGTTTTCCTTCAAATCTGAAGTTTTAAAATTTCACTCTGGAAATTCACTTTTTCCTTCGAGTTGTATATATAAAAATCTATTTGTAGAGAGAGTGAATGGGATTTTGATTCAGTTTAGGGATGTAGTTTTTGCTGAAGTCGAACTGCGCTTTTCCTTAGACGTTCCAATTATAACGACACAAATATGATCGATTATGTTATATCTGAAGTGGGCATATCCCAGAAAGTATTTATTTTCAAAGAAGCAAAGATTATGTGTGGTGCGCGCTACTTATAAGTAGTATATGACGCGAGTAAGAACGTAATGTCTGGCAGCAGAAGATGGGGAAAGATCAAGAAAGGAAGACCGGGAACACAATAGGATTTGTATGAAACGCATGAACAGTGAAATGTCAGACAATGGATTGATGTTTGCAACAGGAACAGTCCAGTTCGATATGATGGATTGATATTTTGCAAATTAGCGATTTACGATATGGTTTTCCTATTTTACCAATTAACTCTGTAATTTGAGATGAGTACAATTCGATTGCCCTCACCTATGTTCTCCTTCACTACATATGTATATTTTCTTGCTGCATTAATACAACACTAATAATATAAACTTCAATAAGTATTTAGCATTTATTTTGATGAGAACAGTTTTAGAAGTAATTGACATATATCATCTCGAATGTTTTATTTATCTATTGAAATATGTATGAATTTGGTTGATAAATCTGATATTAATGAAAGTTTTATGCCGTTCCGAAATACTCCTCAGAAAATCTTATAGAAGCGTAGCTAAATGCTGGGGAAAGTTTTATCTAACCAACACTGTATCGAACCGTCACAAAAACATCTGAAAATTATCAGGAATCATGTGGTGTGATTCTGACTGGATATTTTGTTATATCTTTGCTTTGCTTAGTATGGTTCTCAATTGCTTCAAGAGCACAAAGTTATCAGTAACTCTGAAAATACTTTCACTTTCTATACATATACGAACTTCGAGTAAAGCACTCTTCTTGTACATCGTGCCTTCAATCTTGTGTTCAAGTTGAGTGCCGATTTAGAGTCGGATAGTTAGTCACATCTTGAGTTCATCTAGCAAAATAAATAGAAATGCAAAGAACTGGAATTCCGAGTCATTACAATCCTAACTTTTTTAATGGTCTGTTAATAGCCTGTGTTTAAGTTCCTGTCCCCTGGAACCACTGTCTATAGTTCAAAAGGATATATACCACTTGATTTTGAAGCTATCTAACATGTGGATTAAAGTTCACAGTCTGGAATCATGCTCTAATAGTATACAGCATCATATTAGCAAACATCTGTTTTCATTCAATAAGGAAGCCGAGTCTTTTTAACCTGTCATGAAATTCAAAATAAGTATTTCACCTATCTCATTAAAAGCGAAACTAACTAAGCAAATAGTGATGGTATAATTGATAAAGTCATTCATGCGATGTCGAGTTCCAAAAAAATGGTGGACATCTGAACAAAAGTGAAGCCATTATTTAGTTTTAGCTAACTCTAAGGTTAGCATTGTACACACATTGAGGAAAGCACTCAGCTGCGTCACAAGACAAGTCTTCACTTGGAACCCTCAAGGTCAAAGGAAAAAAAAAAGAAGATCAAGGTACACATTACACTGAGAAATGGAGACAGACATGAAAAAAAATGAACAAGAATTGGACAGAACTGGAAATGAATGCTGAGCACAGATCAGGCTATAAAACACTGGTCACTGGCCTATGCTGCATAGTGGATAACAGGCGTAAGTAAGTTAACAAATAACTCTAAGCGTTACTGTATGTGACTGCCGCTAGATACAGAAGCAAAATCATGCGCTAAGGCATTAATCCTATTCAATAAGTTGGCTAAAATTTGAAATTAAATGTAAATATAAGATGGGATATCAAAAAAGAGACTGTCGTTAATCCAGTGTTTAGTTTATTCTGATTTGTATTGAATGAACTTCATAATTTATTTTAATAAAGCAAATGTTGTAGTAGAATTTTTTTTCATTATTAGCTCAGCATGTCCATTGTGATCAAACTAACTCTCATGAAAATAATTGTCTATAATTAAAAAAAATAGAAAACATTAAACTTTTCTTTAGTCAGTGAATAAAATATCACTTGATAATCTACGTAAGAATCATCATTTTGACTTTGTTTGTTGGTTATTGGCGCTTATTACTGAAGAGTCTTTACCGTAAATTATTTCAACTATTCTGCAATTACTTAATTTTATTATTTTTATGACTTTTATTATTAATTGATAATTAGAAGTATTTCTAATGAAAGTAAAAACCTTGCCATGTATTATTTATTATGATATCAAATGTGCATACATATTTTCTTTGTAAAATATTTAGTTCATGAAGTTAGAATTGTGTTAGATTCACAAGATTACGATTATATCATACCTCATAGAGGATTAATTGGATTCCGTTTATGGATACATTCAAATGAACAACAGGCGTCTTACATGCTTGATCTGAAAGAACAAGATAATCGTAATTGGAAGTATACACAACATGAAAATGTTCCAGATTTGAATTCTTTACAACAACAACAACAATTAAACATTATACGACCGAATGAAATTATTGTCAGTACAGAATTCCAAACATTAATACGTGTAGCTTTAGATATGAATGTGAGTTGATTTTGTTTTACAATCTTAGTTTGTATTCCCTATTGAAATGTATCAGTGTGAATATTAACAGAATAATTATTGTGCTCTTCACAAAATGAACTGTCGTTTAGTTAGATAAACGTTGGAATCAGTGAACTCCAAATAATTTGTTCTAGTACCCGGATCCATTGAAGTATATGCATCAACCAACTCACTAGGAGATGACTGTTAGGTCTCATATTTGTGTTTACTACTGACTAAATCAAAAAATGTTTTAGTACATAACTGTGAACATTGAAACGTCGGGTATGTGCAAATAATTCCTGACATCACTAGAACTAAACAACTGTTCTATCATTTCTGATTTCCTATGGTTGTCTAACCAAAATTGATTCGTGATATGAATTATAAAATTCATATGCCTCCATGGAATTCTTACATTTATAAACGAAAGTTTATAATATGAAGAGATTCTTTCCTACTAAACTGTATATTCATCTTTCTTATAAACGTGCACATTTTAATTAGATATTATTAATTGGGAATAGTTAATATCGACAACTAGAACCAGTGGAAAACAAGGAACGTTTGATAAATGTATGCACTAGTCATCTTAACACATAAGATTCCATGTACACATGTTCATGTCTCATGATAAGCATCATTATTGCCATTATGCAATGTTAAGAGCTGGATAAATGTTCTTTTAATTCATTCATTGAGTACTGTTTACGGTTATGTTTGTTTTGGTGGCTATTCTAATTCTATCAATCAAATTTTTAATGAAGTTAGTAGTTTCAGTCAATCAGCATAGCTTGTTTGCTGCTGAAATGTTGAAATGATTATTCGAATTGGTTGAAAGGAAATTCTGTTCTACCTAAGTTTCATCCTAGTTAGCAATCTTTAGAAAGGCTTTACAATATTCTTAGGGGAATATAATCGTTGTAAGACTTTGAATTCCTAACATTTACAGCCACTAAGGATGATGGACACTTTCTACTATGCAAATTATAACATGAACAACAATTTTTATTTTCTGATTACTAAACAGTATTAGTTCATTTGGGTAATTACTTTCAGTTGTGAAAATGAGATGTTTAAAGAGTTCGTCATTTCTTTCTAATTTATTTCTGGATTTATCTAGAAATAAATTACACAATCTCAGTGTTCGAAAAAAAGTGAAGTTTGAATATTTTTCATTCAATAATCATGATCATCAAACTAAATATACCTAAGGTAATAAATACAAAAACATAACTAGGTAATATTTGCTTAAAATAGCGAAACTATCGTAAATTAAAATGCAACATTTCGCATGCTTATGTGTTAACAAACTATTATTGCTTGACAATCTTTAATTAAACAAATTATTTTCATATGTTTAACAGATATAGCTTGATATGAAGAAATTTATACAGTTATCGATATCAATACTCAGTGATAATTATCAACTCTAAATTTGTCCATATAAGATTCACTTTATAACGCTTCGATTAAACATACAGTAAAAGCCGCAAGTATTTGTCTTTCAACAATAGCTCATTAGTTGTCGAACACTTGAAACATTTCCAATTACCAGTACCTCTGACAATTTTTTCGTCTTTGTAACCTACTATTCAAGAAAGGGTTAAATTCAATTCATTAACTATTCATTGCTGGACCACAATAAGAAACTTGGAAGCACTGAAAGACCTTTAAGTCGTGTTATGGCACTCATCGGCTGTTCGGTTCCACGACTCCTGCTACTCACAGGATTTGAACCCTTCAACCTTCAACGCGAACGCTTTGCCTCGAGACCACTGGGCCGGCATCCAACGGTAATGTCTAACTCTGATCAATCTAGGGATTTCGCTCAACTTTACTAATTGACTTCGGTAGTTACTACCTACATCTGACTGGATTAAACTTCATTGGTCACGTCTTCTCACTAGAACCCCATGATTTTCTTCATGAAGCTAGTTACCAGTGAGCACACTGTACGAATTTGCATTATACAGTAATGGAGATTGTTGTTTATAATTACAGTCATGAATCAATCATCGTTAGACCATTGCTGATGAGTCCCATACTAAGAAGAAACGGCCTTCCAGTGCTTCCAGATTTCTAATGTTGATCTCACATTGATTGATCCATGATTTCAATAAGAAACAACAATCACCGTAACTGTATAATGAAGAAAAGGGTTTAAATCACTGTAATGAAACTACAAGGAATCATGTTTTTTCACTATGGAACTCTTGAAATATGAACTCCAATGAAATAACATCTTAAATGCACTGGTAGCAATTAAAATAGACTAAAATATCCCATGCTTGGAACTGTCACAATAGGTACATTTAGTTAAAATTTACCAAAAGTAAATACCTAATACTAACGATTGTATATTCACCATTGGATTATAGTAACAATAACCCCTTAAGTTCCTGAATATGCTTGCTTACTTACTTACGCCTGTTACCCCCAATGGAGCATAGGCTGCCCACCAGTTTTCTCCAACCAACTCTTTCCTGAGCTTCCATTTCTAGTTCTTTCCAGTTTTTGTTTACTCTTCTCATGTCTTTCTCTATTTCTCAGCGTAATAAGTTCGTTGGCCTTCCTTTTTTCCTTTCACCTTGAGGGTTCCATCTGAGGGCCTGTCCTGTGAAGCAGTTAGGTGCTTTTCGCAGTGTGTTCCTGAATATGCAAGACATTCTAACAACTACACATGCTCATTGATAACAAAAATAAATTTATTTTTACAAATTAATTTAACATTCATTCAATCTCCAATAAGTTGCTTTTTTAGTAAAACAATACAACTGACTCACTTAAATCCTTAATAGAGTGAAAATGGATGGACAGAGTTAAATAAAATTTATTCTTATGAATGTGTCATTGTGTAAGTTGACAGCTATTTCCTTAAAATTGTTCTATAATATTAATGTTTTTCTCTCTAATACACTAGGTTCATTATAAGCAAACAAACATGAAGACTGGATTATGTTCAACATCAATGCGATTTACTGAATGTGAACAGAATGTTAACCGGAATTCAGGTATATTTCAGTATTTTGCATTGAGTTATGTTCAATTTTTAAGGCATTATAATGTTATAAACTATTTGGACTTTTATAAATTACTACTATAAGTCATCAGTCAAAACTACAAATTAATAAAGGCGTACGTGAAACATAATTGCCCAACATTAAGGTAAAGTCTGGAAAAAATCTTCATACCCTTTTTATGATTTATGACTTAATAGTAGATAAGTGTAAAGTTTAAACAGTCACCAATCACAGCACAGAATATGAATTTCAGATTTTAAGGGAAATTTATAGTATCATTCGCTTTCATATTATATGAAGTAAAACAAACAGTGGGAAGAGCTTTGCTTATTACTAGTCAGAACGTCAAAAATGACACTATTAAGTGCTCAAATATTTCTTTAACAACTATATTTATCACAAAAATCAATCATATTCCTAAATCCTAAATTTTACCGTGTACTCCTATTTTCAAAACAAACCTTAAACCCCGAAATATATTCTTCAATCTTAACCAAGAACAACATGAGAACACGCAGAAATTTGTTTGAGTTCTTAAAAAAGCCCGAATGGTCTACGTCTTTACAATCAAATTCATGTCAGTGGTTTTCCAATTCAAGAACAGAACAACAGGAAGAAGAATTCTATGAATTTAAGTTTTCTCACTAAATAACTATTGATTAGAATTTGTCGTAGTCGTTGTAGCTTGTCTCTCTGCTACAATTTCACCAAATAATTTGTAGAAGAACATTATTGATTTTATTATCAAGTCAAATTATTTCTTTTTTTTTGTACCTTAACGCATTGACGTCATTCGGGATGAGCTATTTTTAGAGATTATTAACTGAATGAAAGTGTTTATCTTCAGGTTAGCATTGCACTCCAAAAATCATATTTCATTTTGTTTGGGATTGATCAGCTGAATGTCCCTGTATCTTAATGTTCATATTCATACCGGAAGTATGACTCATTTACTTTGACTAAAAACACCTAATGCGTTAACACATCAACTAGTGAGTTCAGATAATTACTGTCTTGTGTTACATAGAATCAGTATTTTCATTGAGTATCAGGGCTTATGAGCAAGCTGGGCACTGGCTACCGATAGACACCAGGAATGAACATCAACACCAGGTTATAGATAAATGTAACCGATGAACTTCAAATAAGATGAAACGTCATTCTACTGCTGGGCATTGACTAAATTTGATTAAATGCGCTCAAGGCTCAATATAATGCCCAAACATTTGGCTTAGAATGTTCATTTATCAATAAAAGTCCTTAACATCAGAAACAAAAGTCTTCAAATTCATAACGATGAAAATATTTGTCTTTTCTGACAATAAGTTACAGCTAACAGTGTTACACAGATGTGACATGACTTGACTTGTAAGTTGATAAGAAAAATTGTGTCAGCAAAAATACTCATAACCAACTATTTAATATTTTGTGTGATTCAGATGAATAGTTATAAGCTTAAACACACTCTTTTATTGCAATTCTTAAAATAAAACACATTCTCGATTTCATTGAAACAACTTAATGATGCAATTTAGACTGCCATTGAAAAGCTAAAGGCAATGGATGGCAGTTTCTAATATGTATGGGACTCATCAACAGTAAGCATCGACGATCCCTTGGGAAGGAATCCAATCCAACCCTACCGGTCACACGTTTAATCTCTAGACTGCTGAGCCACAATTCGACGGTTTTACAGTCTAATTACACCAATCTACAACACTTTACGAACATCTTTCATAGCCTTTGGCAATCCTCAATCATGAAGCATTTTTAGTTGTTTGGGATATTCTCAAATATGATGACAGATAGTTTTAGATTAATAAAATACACTACAAACGGGAAAGCCTATCTGTATTACCAATATTAACTACAATGTAGACTGATTTTACATATCATGACTAATTGCTTTAGGTTAGCAAGCTAACTAACATATGCAAACTAATTATTATCAAAGAGTTTTATTCTTGTAACCATTCAATTTTTAGATTCACTAGAAGATACTATTTGGTCATCTGATAATGATAATCGTCATTTTTCGAGTGCTCGTATTGTATCTGCAACACAATCATCGAAAGCAACAATAATGTACAGTCTTTTAGCATTACGTAATCCAAATTTATTTATGCGAAATAATATTGATTTGCAGCGTGGTCTACGCATACAACAACGTGCATATATTCAGTTAACTAATGAAACAGCTTTTAACGAATTACGAAACCTCGTCACGAATTATGATGATTTACGTAATCAGTTAAGAAGTATCAAACAGTTATTGCATGAAATCCAGATTGGAATTTGGCGAGATCAACGAGAAGCTTTACAAGTAGGATTAAAATGTTTTTACCTCTGTTACATAAGAACTGCAATTGACAAAACTGATTTTTATATGATTTAAATATCGAACCGCTAGCTTATTTGAATAAGCGAACAGTTCAAAGATAATTTTCCTCACAGGTTAGCATTGATTAGGAGTATCAGTTAGTCCATCGGCTAAAATGTAGAGCTTCGCACGTATGTACATCAGATCAAGTTGCCATACCACATTAGCACAGAGACGTCGAATCGTCAATTCAAATCTCATAGTAGTAGACGTAGTAGAAGTATTAGTGGTAATGGAGAAGATTAGTCATCGAAGATATCAATCGACAATCGAAGAATCAATTTTAAAAGGAAGAGAGAGAGGAATCACGGTCATAAGGAATGCAGAAGATTAGAATTAGAGAGGAGACAAAGAATAGATGCACTTGCTCTATTGCAAACGTTTTTGAACCATGTAATTCAAGGTCGCTGACTATTGGTTACTATCATCTTATGAACCCCAACCAGGCAGTCTGCACTTACCAACATTGCTCAGCTCAATTGTCAGTGACTTCATGGATTTGTTCCGTGTTTTGGTCTGGCTGCCCTTAGCTTTCTTTCAGCCTGCCCCCAGAATAGGTATCATCGCTCGCTGATGCACTACGTGGTTGAGCGTCCGAAGTTTACTGAAAATTAAAAATAATCAATCGAAATTTTATACTTATTTGGGGCTTCCCACAAGTCCACTGAGAGTACTACACCGTGAATCAATTCAAACATCTTTGAGTTTCGATTACAACAGTCTATGTTTGAATTTTTATCTCTTGACTAATAGTTGATTTATTTATTTGCTGAAAACTTCATCAGTTGTTGACATATTTTTGACTTTATATCTGCTAATAATATGATCTATTAACATGTAAGTTGGGTATGGTAAGGGAATGAAAGTTTTAAAACATTTTGGGAACCTGGATTCTAAGAAATAACCAGAAAGAGAATGCATCTGTGAAGTTGCGAGTGATTGTGAATTATGCTACCTAACATTTTGATTATCGTTTTGCAATGATTGCACCAACCCTTTTCAGATAGTTTGGATCTACCAACGGGGGTTAGTTAAAACAATCTTTGTTTTGATTTTAAACACCGAAAGATTAATTTTAACTCATTCTAATTTCAAGAATTAACATTGTACGCTAAGGTATGCCGTTAGTTAAAGAAAAAAACTCACAACCTCAATAATCATCTTACAATAGTGGACGAATACTTTAAATCTAACTTGACGACTATTTCGTAGTCATAAAATACGTAAATCTTTGTGTCAAGACACGTATAATCATACTGATTATCAAATATTACATTTCACACCGTGCTTAAAACAACTTTCAAGATCTCAATGAATGTGTTTGCAGGTAGCCATGAGGGTAAACTTTACCAGGAATCGATAATGAAATATATGTACATATACATTTATACATTAGATGCAAAAGGCAACGCTATACAATATAACTAATATAAAATGTATTCATTTCTATTTTATTGTTTGTTTCATAGAAACGATACACATTATTCATTTAGTCTTGACGAATTAATCACAATTATATTATGCTGATGCTGATGCTGATGAGGATGATGATGTTGATGATGATGGCATGAATAAACTCATTCACAATTAAGGCGCCATAAATCGGCAAAAATAAAACAACATGAATAAATGAATAGAAAAAGACAAAAAAAAAATGTCAACTAAAACAAATATACTACTAATTTATTATTCTTCCATTGTATCATACCAAAAAAAAAATAGTTTATTTTTTTGCTGTAAGGATAGGTAGTTTCCTGTTTTTTTTATTTTCAGTACAAAAAAAAAAGAAATAATTAATTATGACTGTTTGACAAAATAGGAATTATGTGTGTACATCAAACTATGTATTATTATTCTCTATGTGCTTCACACTTTTTCTAAAGGGAGTCATGTCCATTTTTGCATTGTTCAACTAGGCAATGAAGAGAGAATAAATACGTTCTGAAACACTTGTGATTTAACTTGATTGTATTGAGAAATAATAGAGTGATTATAAATTGATTTAATATATGAGTGTTTTGATTCTAGATTATGATATCTACGCATTCAGTCTCAAGTGGAGTACTAATGAGTACAGCTAAACTGTCTCATACAGGGATGCCACAGTTTTCGCCTGTTTTGTTGTTTACAGTGTTTTATCATTTGATGTCAATTAGGATGGGGAAATTAATTTACAGAATAAGCTAGCAGTGACTTCACTAGAATCTTGTGTTACTTAATAAAAGTTCAGAACTTGGTTATGACTTCGATTATATTGTATTTACATAATGCAATGTTATAATATAGAGTACTACATTGGATAGGTAGAGCCGATTGACATACAATCAATGCATTTTAGTCATTGAAATTGTACATATAAATCAAGAACAGATTGGTCCTGGATTTATACATCTTGATTTAAGAATGAATTTTTCAGTTAGAGTTATGGAGATCAGTTTTGTACATATTAAAATCATTAACCAATTATCGTTAGACCGCCATTAGAAACCTAGTGACAGAACAATTACTCAGGGTTTATTTAAATCTGTAGAAAATAATCCACAATTATGTACATCACAAATTCAAATTCATATTGATTCAATATACAATGTTAAATTAGAAAGATTAGGTGAAGCTATTGCTACATGTTTACAAAGATTAGAATTATTTCAAACAAGTATGAATTTGATTATTAAATGGAATAAACATATATTACAAACATTTTCAATTGATTATGAACACTTACAAAAAGTAGATGAAAAAAGGTCAGTATTTGATTATGATACACGCTTTAAAATTTAATAGATTTTATAATAACAACTTTACTTTGAAAAGATGCTACCTCTACAGTGTTCTATATATTTAGCAACCCCTCATAAGACACAGAGTGTTTTAGGTTCAAGTGCTGATGAAGGCGACGTGAATATGTTATTCCCAACGAATTTCATTCCACGAAGAAACAGATTTTCTAGTGCCTTCACATTTTAAATAACTATTTATCTGAGATTCTTATCTGAGACTGATAGTCCCAATTTTAATTATCGCGTGCGAAGATCGTGGATACGCGTTGCTGATGAGTTCCGTACCAGGCCGAAACAACTATCCAGTATTTCCAGGTTTTTAATGGTTGTCTAAAATCGATCGATTCATGATATCAATGAAACCTGACGATTCTTACAACTCTATAATGAGAATTTATAATGGTCAACAGGATACGAAGAATGGATAAAAGATGTTTACTAAAAAAAGTTCTAAAAACATTCGCTATTGTTATAATGACATTATGTCGTATTATTTTTGTATGCGCTAAGACACCGTACACATCATAGAAAAGTACCGACTTGTACTGAATTGTTATTTTAAAATCTACTTATTTATTTGCGATAAAACTGGTGTTTCATAGAGCGAAGTGAAAAAATTCAAGCAATTCTATCTAAATATAACTTTGAAAATAGTCACTAGCGAACATATGGTTATAATCACTAAAACGGGTTCGTTTGAGTAACCTTAGATAACGTAAACCAGTGCAGTTAAACTATGTCTAGCATAGGGTAATTATTTAGCATTAAAGAATGATCGAGTGATATCCAAAATTGATTTTAACTAGAACGGCACACCATGTGATATAGTCTTAGTGGCCTTAGGTTTAGGCACTCATTATGACGCCTGACGGACTTGGGTTCAATTCTCATAAGGGTTGTAGCTATGCTCCACTAAAGAGTAGGACCCAGTTGAAAAGCAGATTTCCAGTATTGTCCAATTTTCAATGGTCCTTCGTTAAAATCAGTTTGTGAGTTAAATTATGAATTGTTATTAGCTTTTTAGATTAATGAAATTACTTGACAGAATTTCGTTCATTTTGGTCTTATCATACAAACTACATCATTTAGCAAACAATTTGAGATTTTTCATTCCATATTTTCAAAAGAACCTCTTTTTCTTCGTAGTTAACGTTAAACTTAGACATAACTACTGGGAAATAATGTTCATTCAAAAGGAATTTCGTTATCGACAGCTTTACTTATTCGAAATTATACCAATTATTTTTATTAGAAATATTCAGTTATTTATTCCATATTGTACCAAAGAATTTATAATAAAAATTCTTCAAATATTTGCTAAAATTTCGATATCTTCATGAATCGATCAATGTTGTTACACCGACAATAGAAACCTAGAAGCACTGTACAGTCGTTTCGTCCCGGTATGATACTCATCAGGCGCGCGTATCTACGACTCCTGCTACTCGCATGGTTTAAATTCAGGACTCTCGGTCTTGCGTGCGAACGCCTCACCTCTGTTATAGATTTAGAAACATTTATATGCGTTTAGAGATTAATCACAAGTTACAGAATGATATTACCTTTTTCAAACGATATCATTTACTTAAGCTGTCAAACTACTATTTTAACAAACAGTAGTTTTTAAAAAAAAAAATAAAATAGAGGAAGAATTTTTTTGTAAACCACAAAAATAAAATTGATCTAAATTTCCATAGCATTGCATGCATCATCAATTATTCAGAAATATTAAATACCAAGAATGCTGCTAGTCAATAATAATAAAATTAATCTAACGGTTAATGAACAAATGCTTAAATTTTAGTGGTTTGAAGTAAGGAAACAAGCAACATTGTCAACGCACTGAATTTAAACAATAGAATCACTGAATGTTTTAATGATAGCTAATTATCAACTGTGAAAAAGTATGATAAATGATTATTGAAAATGGAAGTTAGAAATGAAGTTTAAGTCTATGGGAAAAAAAATAAGAAGTTGAATATAGTGTATTTGAGATGGTGGATAAATGTAATGGAATTTCGTTCTCTGAGCTGGATATTTGTTGGTTGGAACCAACAAACAGATCATCCTACCCCATATATGAAAGACATATCGGAAATTACAGCACGACTGCTGAAACCCTATGGAATAAGTGTAGCACACAAACCATCAGAACACTTCAGTCAATCCTATGTAGATCAAAAAAACAGAATGAGAAAGGAAGAAAAACCAAATACCATCTACAAAATGAACTGTTCAGATTGTGAAAAACACAATACTGGACAAAATGGACGTCCTCTTGAAGTTCATCTGCATGAACATCAATCTTCTCTTATATCAATGCATATAGACAAGTGTGGACACATTCGATTGGACAAAGGCCGATATACTGGATAAAGGGAATACAAAGGACACTAGAAAATTTTTAGAAGCACTCAGCAATCAACAAGCACATCGACATTGACCTGATTTATCAACTAATCAGAAAAATCATAAACAAAAATTGGATCAAAAGCTACATCAAAGTGGAATGCAATGAAAATAAAGAAGCCAGCCACGACAGTTAAAAGATCATTAGCATTCAGTCAAAACTGAGGTCAGCAAGACAAGCTACCTCGTTTCTACCTGTAGTTTGTGCTGATAATGTTGTTTAGAAGAACAATGAACGCGCCACAACCTAAACATTCAGCTCAGAGAACAAAATTCCATCACCATATGATGTATATTTACCAAAAGAGAATACACTTCAAGTAGCAGATATATGATTGAAGTTACTTTCTAGGATAATATTGTATAACTATTGTTTTTTTAAACTTTATTAATTTTTAGCCTTGTTGCATTCACTGTTCAATTTGAAACGATTGGAAATGATATTAGTATGACACATTTAACGCCTATGCATAAAATATTCAATCCATTCGGTAAGTTAAATCTTCACTTTGTTTTAAGATAATATAGGTATGATTTAAATTGTAAATTTTATTGAGTTACGTTTGTTGATAATACCATTGATTATTTGTATTACGGGGTTGTGAAAACTTAACAATCTTCACAACCCCGTAATACAAATTACTTGTCCTCACTAGTGACTAGCTTGATGAGGAATCTTCTCCGAGTTCTAGTGGGAAGGTGTGACCAGTGAAGTTCAACCTGTTCGGGTGTAGACAGTAACTACCGAAGACTGTGTATGAGGTTGCGCAACTCCGTGAACTGATCAAGTTAGACATTAACACCGTTAGATACTGACTCAGTGAACCGAAGGTCCTGGGTTCGAATCCTGCGGGGTACAGGATTCGTGAATGCGCACTGCTGAGGGGTCCCATACCGGGACGAAACTGCCGTCCAGTGCTTCCAGGTTTCTAATGGTGGTCTTATATTGATTATTTGTTTCGTTAAACTTTGATTTCAAGATGTCTCAGCAGTGTGCATTCACATGCACAGTTTGCATGAATTTTCTAATGAAATTACTTTAATTAAAATAAAATTTACTTGGCAAAACATAGACTGTTCATTTAAGAGTATTTTTTGTTTGAAGTATCTCACTGTTGATATTCTTGGCGGAATCTTAATTAGTTAATGTTAGTACGTTTTCTTCCTGTACGGATCGTTCTCTAACACATACAATAATTATGGGTATCAGTGGAACTCATGATGTGTGTTCTATCTATTTCGGCCTTGTCAATTGCATGTACCCTCATACCTATATTGATGATCTTATTAGAACCCTGATTAATCCCCTTTTTTCTACAAATACCATTAAGTCCAGATATCCATAGTCGTAACTAGTCACTTGGATTAATTGATTTCGATTTTATTAGTTACTAAAATATTTCCATTTCGATCAAATTAGCTATATTAAAATTTCGGTACATACATGATCATCTTTACAAGGTCGCTGATACCAGCGTAAATAATAAAGATATGGTTTTTCCACTAGAGTCACAGAGATTATTGATTTTACACATTGAAACCATCAACCAATCATTGTTAGACCACTGTACCGCCGTCAACTCCTGACGTGGGACTCATAAGCAGTGCAGGTCCAGGACTCCTGCACCTCGCAGAATTCGACGACTAACCTCTAAACCACTGAGGTAGCACCTAACTGTGTTAATTTCTAGCTCTGACTGATCTAGAGATTTTGCGCGACCTCAACCATTTGTCTTCTGTAGTTACTGCCTCCATCCAACCTGGTTGAACTCCATTGGTCATGTCTTCTCACTAGAATTCCGAGAATTTACTCACGAAGCTAGTCACTAGTGAGCATGTTTTATGCTTTTTCAATTAGAGTTATGGAAATTATTGTTTTTACACATTTACACATCAGTCAATCATTGTTTAGTGCTTCCAGGTTTCTAATGGTGGTCTAACAATGATTGAATGATGATTTCAATGTGTAAAAATAAAAATATGATCAATTGACAATGATGTCAATTTGATCTGAAATATTTAAATTATTATACTGATCATCTTAGAATGATTTTATTGAATAAACAAATCTGTAAAATAATAGATCATGTTTCAGTTAATTGAATTCCACACAGTTTTTGTTGTTAATATTAATATTCTTGACTGAATAATAAATAGTCTCATTACCATCATGTTTTCTGTGTGAACTGTCACGATTTAGTCAACTTATTACGTTTTACATAAAAGCTGCGTTATGATTAACAGTGGGAACCGGGATACGAGTTTTGTCTTATTCAGGATTATACAACTGGAGAAAACATATACTCGTTGTGTAAGTGAGCAACTATGTGGATAACACCTCAAATGTTTAAAACGGAAGGTAGTGTTTAGATTACAGGGTAAAGATCAGAACTGGGATACAGTTATATACAACCAACAAGTACCAAACAGGGTGCAACGCTGGTCCTGGTTTTTACTGTTAGCCATAATTCATATTTTCTGTTGTTCACTTTCGTTGCACGTTTATACCGTAAACGTTTTAAGTCCATTGTATACGTTTAAACAGTATTTATGCATGTATAGATGTCGAACAAGTAATCAGATGAAACGAAATTGATGCTTACAGTTTTTTACATTGAACAGTCTTACTTTAATGAAAACGACTTGCTAGTTGCACTATATTTCGTGGTTCATAGCACATACTGATCCTATTTACATTTAGGTAAGATATATGACCCACAAAATGTCTGACTAATATTCTAATGTTAAGGCTTTCACAGCATAGTTCAACTAAGTTGTGTGTGAGAGAGTTACCTATTAATTGCGTTGAGAGTTGATTAGGCGGTAATACCAGTTAACTGAAGTTAGAAATGTAAACTGCCGGATATCAGCATAGTGATTATAATTTCAAATAGTCATGACATGAATCGAAGATCCGATGTTTAATACCTTGTGAGGGTGCCAAAACGAATAACTGAGGAGTCTAAGACTAAGACTAAATAACTTTCTACTGATTCCTGACTTTCAGTGTCTGTCTAACTAACATCAGTCCATGGTGCATACCATACTTTACTATAGCTTGTTTATATTCAGATTACTGTTTACTTATAACTGTATCGTCTAAATGAAAATCTATTTTCTTAAAAGGTGAAATTATGGGAATTTGTTTTGGCACATTAAGTCTATTGATACCACTCTATTTGATTGTGGATTACTTCTTCACTATGAAATGTAAATCTTCAAAAGATAGACAAGGTAAATTAAAACTTATTTATTTACTAAATGTGATTGAATTATCAGAAATTAGTATTTGATAACTGTTTGTTTTTTTTTTTATGTTCAAATCTATAAAAATATGGATTTAAAGTTTTTAAACTGAATAATTTTGAAATTATGCAAAAGATTGAAATTAGACACATGTAAATTAAATTGATAAGTATACAATATCAAATATTATTAACTTAGATGTTTTTTATATGGACGTAATTTGTTACGTTTGATTTAGGTTTAACTGGCAAACAAATAGAAAAATGCCCAAACTATCCGAGCATACAAATAGAAGTTACTTACATACATACGCCTGTTACCCGCAATAGAGCATAGGCTGACGACCAGCATTCCTCAACCTACTTTGTCCTGGGTCTCTCTTTCCTGTTCTGTCCACTAGTTGTTCATTCTTCTCATGTCTGTCTAAGTTCTCCCTCGACCTTGAGAATTTTAAGTAAGGGCTTGTCTTGTAACTTAGTTGGGTGGGTTCATTCTTCGATGTGTGTCCTATCCACTTCCAGCGCTTCTTCCTCCACTGGAATCTGGTTTGTTTTAGCCCATGATTATTTAGGCTGAATCGATTGTGAATTTATCCATGGTGCTTACACTGAAACAGTCAGTTTTTATTGAAAATGTACTTTTATCTGGCATATCTTAAGGATTTTATTAGTTTTTAATGGATGAAGGTCAAAAAAAGTGATTGAAGTTAGAGAATAACACTGTCGACTGTCATTTCAATGGTCTAGCGTTTAAGCGTTAGAGCCCAAAACCGATAGATATCTTAAGTTCGGTAACTAGATGCAAGATTGTGGATGCTGACTGATGAGGAGTTGGATATTAGTACAAAATGCACCCACGGTGCCTTTAGGTTTTAATGATAATCAAAATATGACCAGCTCATGATTTGAAACTATGACAATTCTTAATGGTCAACTATTTACATGATTAAAATTTTATTTCAGCCGTTGAGGAGTTAGTTGTAAAAATGTTTATTCATTAAAATGAATATTTAGCACTATCACTCAATTTCAGATAAGTTTACTCTTTTTATGTGTACGTTTATTTGATATAAACTTGTTGTTTCCCAGGTAAATCGAGATTTTATTTACAACGATTCATTGAAATAATCTCTTCAAGTTTAGGCATTCCGTATATGTACACTAAACTCTATACATATTACCTTCAATTCACCTTTGATTGTATGCAAGGTACTATCTCCATCAGTACACTGATTATTCACTGGCTAGTAATGAGTGTGGGTTTTCTGTATGTATGAGGATAGAAATGGTGTGTGACTTCGGATTGAAATGACATATTATTAGAGATGGATAATGATTACCAGTGAAATTTAAGATACGCGTTTCATATGATTAGCGGCTCTTTAGCTTGTCGCTTATGCATCCTAAACTTGATGTTTACACCAAGTTCCAAACCCAGTACCTTCTGCTTCAAACTCTATAACGTTAGTAATTTAGCTATGGATTGTATACCATCATTGACTTATGCAATGAAACGAAGTTTAATTTATTTGTATCGGTCGTTTGAATCTTCCCTTTCATGTGAAACAGTGTAATTGATCAGTCACTTTTGGTACATTTGATTCCTATCTGAATTGCCTTGATGTCTCCGTTCAGTTAAAGGCGTTTAAGTAAAGGTTCAGTGCTTGTAACTTAATAACAATATCAAGATAATCCGAAGAAAATGCACATTCACCAAAATAAACTCGTCATTTGTTGCACTAAGTATCAATGGGGTCACAGTATACTAACAATTTCGGTCAGGATTTTTGCTTTTCATAAAAACGGTGCTTAAATTCGTTGCTATTCAGTGGTAATACTCAAAACAGCTCTTTACCAGTAAATACCTTTGTAGTTAACTCATACATGTTTTCATTTTGTTTACTTAGATGAAGATAAAACTTCATTTATGTAAGTGATGAAATTATTTTTCATCATAGAGTTAACGAATTGTATGTTCGTCTTCATGATTTAGTTTGAACAGCTAATTTCCATCATTCGTTATTATATTTTTTTTAAAATGCGATTTAAAAGCTAATCACAAGAATCTACCCAGAGCTATGGTAATTTTCAACGATACTTTCTAAAAAAATATTAATTAATAAATAACTTGTTATGCTCATGTAAACATTTTCATTTCCTTCATTTTCACAGGAGTTATTTAAATATTCTCCAAACCAGTGATAAACATACTAGAATGCTGTATAATTTCATCATTTCAAACATTATTCTACTTATGCAGAGAATGTTTTGACACATTCGAATGTAATTAAAAATGAACTGTAAATATTGAATATTGATCAAACTCAAGATTTTTATTGATTAAAACAATATATTCTGATTAACTTTTAATCTGGTTATTGTACATAACTACCTAACACTAAATTGGATCATTTTCTTTGATAATCCTGATAAATTCATCTTTAAATTCTTATATTATGTGTATATTTCTTCGATGCCATCATTGCTACCGTCGATGTTGTTTGCTGCATTATGTAAACAATTAACAATTTATAGTTACCATAATGTACAAAAATTTGAATTTGATTTTAAAAGTTCAATTTTTTTTTCTGATTTCATTGTAAAATTGAACAACACTTCCAAAACTTGCAATGTATATGTTATTTTAATTAAACTTTATTGAATCTAATAAAATTGTTCAAAACAAAAATGATTAGGCTTGTTTTGATACAAAAATGATGATGATAAGATATTAATGAAAGATTATAAACAAAAAATCAAGATTAGAGAAGTGTAGATTTTGAGGCATTTTTAGTTAATATATGTGTGACTGTCATAAGGCTGCCAGGGCTGATGTACAAACCTGTGGCGAGAACTAATCGGGTAGTTTTGTCATGTCTCTCCATTCTCTAAGTCTCTGACCTAAATGTCTATTCCTCAAATCAGTGAACAGATGTCACGAAATGAATTGTGATTGGAGGAATCGACCAAGGATAAACTTATATTCTGTTAGATCTTTCAGGATTTCGGTGTTTACGTAAAGTAATGACCTGTGCACAAGGTCTCCTTAGTACTCTAGATGGATCCTCTGTAAACATCAAGCTAATTCAAAAGTCTTAATGAGTTTGACTACTCTAACAGAGGCTATAAATGTATAAAAATTAAAGGGACTTCCAAAAATTAGAACAGACTATTCTCACTTCCTTCCTTAAGAAATCAAGTCAGTCAGTCAGTTGCAACGTAGAACTTCGTACGTATTTACATAAGTTGCCATGTTGCCATACCACATTAGCACAGAGACGCAAATGACAAATCAAATCCCATAGTGATAGAGATAGTAGAGGTATTAATGGTAATGAAGAAGACTAGGGCTTGAAGATATTATTCAAGAAGTATAATTCAGTGAGATAAGGTTAGAAAGACAAAGGTAGAAGTGAGAATAAAAGCAGCTACTCAAGGTCTGAGGACGAAGTCATACTGCTGACTGCAGAGGGGTGTGACAGCAGTAACGTGTTTCCCTCGGACAACCAGCATCTGCAGCGATGCTGCCTTCTCACAAGGAAGGAAGAGTTAGAAAATGTCGACCTAAAAATGTCACACCTCACCCTACCTCACGGATTTCCGTCTCCGTCGGTAAAGGTGCCCACTAAGGGCTAATCCTCAAAAAACTTTTCATAAAAAGGCCGTGCGTGATCGGTCTCAAGCAGTTGTCCCCTGGGCTCTGCAGTCACGCACCCAGGTCTCTGAGACCGGCTCTAATCTACCTTCCTTTTCAGGTCCCTCAAGAAATAATCGTTCATGGTGTGGGCAGCCGGGAAAAGACAACCGCCCTCATACCCGTAACAGCACAAGGGACCAAATTGGTCAAAACCAAATCCTTCCTACACCCACACATACCTCTCTTATCTCCACGACTACTAAATCAAGTAGGTATTTTTGTGCTTGCATAGTATGTGACTTTCATAAACACTAGATATATTGGTTTCTGTATAGATTTAGAAAGAAATCGGCTGTTGATAAAAATAAAAATGTAATCAAATGAGCAGACAGTTATCAAGAATAGGACACATTTTGTTAATTCGGTACTATTGCCAATCAATTATTATATTATCTCGGCTTATAGGCTGCTAAACTCTGTCAGATGATCGGAGGAACTTAGCAGAAAACCCAGTTGGCATTCATCAGCAATGTAAGATAGATAGAGTAGATATTTTCAAGCAAACTCAATCTTTTATCTCACAGCTTTACCAGTTGGAACGTTATCAATGAGCTACACAAGTTGCAAATGATGTAGTTTGTTGGACTGAAATATTTACATATGATTAAATATCAAATATTGGTCGTATCTGCCTAGTGCTTTAATCCTGAGGGGATTCTATCTATGAGGTTCTAATCTGACTACCAATATAAGTGACTTGACATTACGTGTTATATGTTGTGGTATCAGGTGGTTAAAGCCATCAAACAAGAAGATGGATGATTCAGTAGGCAGGAGTTAGTGTAGAAAGGTCTGTTCAATACGTGACTGAAATGTATAGTTTCATTCTTAACTCAAAAAATTTCTTATAAGATTATTTTTAATAAGGCAAACGAATCACAGGAACGTCAATAAAATCTGTTATGCTTGTGTGTACATTTCAACATTAATAAAGAGGAGAAATATTACTAATTTAAAAGTAGTAATGAAAATAAATATGACAATAGTTGCGGTCGCTCACTATCGTAGATCGACTGAAGCTTAATATAACCACTTTAGATGCCCTCTCAGTGATCTAAAGACCAAATGTTCGCACATGAGGGTCGTGGATACACATCTAAATGAATTGAAGTGTGTCGGTATAAACATTTTATCAATCACTGAGTCGTAAACATTGTCAAATTGACTATTGTTTTTAGTAGTGATGGACTTCAATCGATCAGGTTGTAATGTGATCAGAAGTCTATGCGACCGCACATCGTGTGCAACATGTTTGGATGTAAGTTGGTGGTTAGAGCTATTCAAAAGGAAACCCTAGATCTCGATTTCGTACCATATGGGGCTCGTCAGCAAGGTGTATCAATAATCCTATGGGGAATTACGCTCCTACGTAGATTTATGAGATTCATGTAGCTCTGCAAGAACGAGCAAACATGATGTTCACAACTGATCAGTAATCTATCCGTTGTAAACACAGTTCAGTCATACATTAGGTCATCAGCGATCCGAATGACACAATGGCAGCATATAAAATAATGTGAAGCTAAATGACATAGGATGGAATCCGTCAGAGACCATCAGTTTTCTGAAGATTACGAGTTAGGTTTACTGTGTACCTGTCGACTACCTTTGATCACCCGATATTATATAGGTATACAAATGAGCTGATTATATTATATGTAGTATGATAATTGGAAAAATATTGATAATAGTGATGACAGAAAAAAAGTGAAGACTTTACTGAGAAAAAGGAGGTAATAAGTTAATTGTGATTAATTATAGTATTCGATATGCAAATATCTAACTTAGGGAAAATGATACTAAGCATCAAAATAAATAGATAAATAGAAAGATGTGCTCATTAGTGATTAGCTAAGTCAAGGAATTCTCGGAGTTCTAATTAGAAGACGTGACCAGTCGAGCTCATAACTGTGAAATGTAGGCAGTAACTACTGAAGACAATAAATAGGTGTGGTTACGCGAAATCCTTAGATTAATCAGAGTGAGACACCAACACTATTGGATACCGGGTCAGGGGTTCAGAGGATAGGCAGTCGTGCGCAGGATCGAAGGTCCTGGGTCGGGATCTTGCAAGTAGAAGTAGCCGTGGACGATCACTGTTGATGATTCCCATGTCCGGACGAAACGGCTGTACAGTGCTTATCGGTTTCTAATGGTGATGGTCTAACAATCATTGATCAATGATTTCAGTAATGAAGAATAAAACTCGAGATTTATTTTCGCCAACACCCACTCCTTTCTACAAAATTTATACAGAAATGTATCTTTTCAGAATGAAATAAATCAGACTTCTTCAAAATAAAATAATTTTTCATAAAAATTTAACAAAGGATTCATGCTTGTGGGTTATCTGGTTTTTTTTTTAATGTTGACTTTGTGTTTTGATTGTGTTTTAAAGTTTTTATTTGTGTCATGGGATTTATTTCAGTTGAGTTTTAGTCATTTTCATTTTGAATCGGAACTTGTTACAGAATAATTTATTGATGATTTTTTTCAAAGCATAAAATGTACATTTATATATGTATATACTACTGTCATTGTTAATACACCTGTTTTTATCATCCAGTAATTACTAAATTATGTTCGTGTAAAGTTTTTGATCAAATCCTTTTTTCCAACAGTACAACCCACGAGTTTATTAATAGACATTTATCAGCATTTCATGTTATGTTTTAATATACAAGACTAATTTGACTCAAAGTTGATTTGTGAACGGATTAGATCTCTTATTCAGTAGTATCTAGTGACAGTGATAACCCTAAGTCCGCTTGGAAGCATTTTAGCGTTAGTACCGGTTCCAAGCCCAGATAAATGAGGAGGGTTCGGCATGGGATCAGAGACCCCATTCCGTAGAAATCCAACTCATTAAGAAAGCGCTAACCAGAAAAATGATTCGCTTGCCGGAAGCCTTTGCTCCATTAGTGGTAAACAGCAAAACTTAGTAAGTGATAACTCTAGTATCGAATAGGATGAGAATCTTTTTAAGAGAAGTGGACACAATGTTTAGGTTGATGACGGATCGTTTGGGAATTCTTCTGTTTTTTATATAAAGATAATTTGGAAAAGTCAAATGGCTACAGGTAATTGATCGACAAGTTCTGATCTTAAGTTTATTTTTGCTTGATGCTCGTCAGCATTGTGTGCTTTAAATCTAGAGAGAACGATGCATTTTGTGACGTTTGAACTCCTTTCGTTCCGTTTCACAGTCTCGGAAGTCTAAAATGAAAAAGATATTTTCAGATTGTGGTGATCCAAATTATTTTCGACGTTGATTGTTTGTTATCTCTGTATCTAAACAACTCTCTGTTTGACTCATTAAAGTTGGATAATTTTTGTTTCAATAAATGTAAAATAGATCCATTCTAGAAAACAAAAACAGGCCTTAAATTTGTCAAATAATAGTACATTTCAGAAGTTATTTGTTCTACAGTGTTTTATTATAATTCCTTCCTGGCTAAATTGGTCAAGAAAAATTTTGATTTGAAAGTATACACTAATATCAGTCAAAAATGTATGGATACTGTTTACATTTATGGCAGCTACTATCCACACATTGTAGAAAAGAAGCAAAGTCTGTTTAACACTAATATTCAAACTAATTTGTTCGGCGGTCAGTATTTGGACACACGAAAATTTAAGAAATAAAATAACAGCACAACATTGGCTAGAAATCTCGTTTTGACAAATAATCAGTCAAAAAAATTTATATATCTCAGATATGATTTATTTTCAAGGATCATGGTTGACTCTTAAACTCTGCCAACACCAAATTTTGAATTTTCAATACAAATGTAA